CATTGTACAGTGGTATATATATTATGTATATTTTTTTATTACATTCTCTTATTGGATCTAAAGTTCTTTATTATCTTTGGCAGTGACTCAATGTATGCCCGATAACACGACGTAACCTTAGTTGGAAGAGGTCCGTGGTTACTCAAAGTACTTTGGATGTTTTCGCAGTCTCAATACTCATTGATATTATATCTGTGTAACCGAAAATGAGACTAACAACCTTGACCTTAGAGATCACATTGAAAACATTTCAATTCATTTCATTATAAGATATTATGGATTTAATATTACAAATTCAACCTTTTATTATTAGATATGTATCTATGTACCTACCTAAATAGAATTTACACGTGTTAAGCTCTTAGGAACAAAAATCTTATCAAAAAGTTCCCGATTAATTAGTTTTGTCTAAGTATTATATCATAATGTTTTATGTATCACAATTTATCAACTAGGAATTAAAAATGACTGTATCAATGTACTGATAAGGAGTACACGACAGTGCCGCGTGATACGACCCTAAACAATGACCTAGTATCAGACTTTGACACCAGACAACGGCGGATAACAACTAAAATTAAATATTGCAATTGATTGTCGGAGAACGGACTCATACATGTTATAAATATCAGAACAGACACAGAACTAACTGTAAAATAAGTTAAGGAAAAGAAATATGAATAAAAAATAAATTTAGATAAAAATTGTCACGATTTGATGACGACGAAAAGATGGTTTCGATTCGTTTTTAAAAAAAACTTTGCCTCACTCTAGAATCTGTGTCGTGCGAAAACTGACCCTGTGACACTAGCAAAGTTAGGGCCGATTTTTCAATCATCAGTTAAATTGACATTTGACAGTTTTTAGTTTGGAATAATTGTCAAATATTCAAAGTAAGGTATTCCTCAAATAAGAACTCAAATATTCCTCAAATAAGTGTTGATACAAAATACAATACAAAAATCATGTAGTCTGAGAGATATTAAAAATGTATTTATTTATTATAAGAAATTTCTTTATTTTATTTCATAGTTCATAATAATTACGCGTTTAGCTAATACACCATACAAAAACAAACGTATGTAACACTCTTTATACTACTACCTAATCTATCTATCTATAATAGTTAGATTAGGTAAAAATAAGCATTGGTGAATCGTTTACAGACGTAATATTTACTTGTAACTGATAAATACAGCCTCGCTTATGAATATTTTATCATAAAACCTCTTATTATATACGAAATCTTAACTATTTCTATTCCTATGTACAGCCAGCCAAGTTTTTGACATTTAGATAATAAAATAAAGGTTGATGCAGTACACAGACAGTTGTTATTGTTACACTATTTTTTTGTATTAAGTCTTTGACTGTCAATAAAAAACTGTTGAAGATAAATCCTCCGCTAACGCCGGTCACCGGTGACTCCCATGGCGTTTAACATGTTAAATCGTTGCCCCACCCTAGGGTTTTTTCTTGTGTCGTAGGTGCGTTTACAAACATGCAAGTTCACATACACATCACACCCAGACCCAGAACAATAATCTGGATCACTAAAAGAGTTGTTTCATGCGGGAATCGCCCTGCCCGAGTAGACAATTGTTTTTAACAATAAGCCATTTCTTCTTTTTATTTGTCTTTTATAATGGGCATAGTAATTATTGTCTCTGTACTGATTTAATCTTTATTTTCGTACCTAGATGTCAAAAATTTTGGCTGACTTATCGGTAAAAATTAATAATCTAGATCAATTCAAAACTTTTGAATGAAGATCGATCGATTTTGGACATAAATTGTATGGACGTTCTATCAAAGGTTTTGAATAAGATTACGTTATTCATTTCTAGGATTAATCTAATAAATTTAAGGCTATTATTTATTGATTTCTCTTGACAAAATTGACACGCACTGGTCCATTGTTCCTAAGAACGAGATCTGCAAGGAATACAATGTCGGATTGTTTCGTCACCGCTTTTAGTTCAAACTCTCGAAGAACTGCTGCGGCAGCTATTTTCATTTCCAATATGGCGAATTTTTGGCCTGAAAATATCACATCAATATTATTGTCATTTTACTGCGTCTTCTCTTATTTGTTATCAATTAGTCAATTCCAAATAGGTCAAAGTATGATTAAAATTTTAAATTTTATTCTGATTACAGAATGATGCTATTAAGCATCGAGTGCAAAACGTACATTTACCTGTTTTTTTTCGGAGTTGTATTCTGCATAACTGGTGGTGAACTACTTACACTACTATCTACATTTTTCGAAATCAAAAAGTGTATTAAGATGTTACTGTACCTATACAATTTCTGGGTCCGGCACTAAACGGTATGTATGCATAAGGATGTCTTCCTTCACAATTTTCTGGTAGGAACCGGTCAGGGTCAAATACTTCAGGGTTTGGGAACAAATCCTCTCGATGATGCAGGTCGTATATTGGTATGTGACACAATGTACTGGCCGGTATTGTGTGATTACCTGTAATAAAACAAAAATTAACATAGAATTAATTTAAGAAATGTCAGCTGGAATACATCCACTGCTTAAAAGCCTACGTCATCGAAAATTTTGAGAATGCTGCTACTCATCACACTGTTTCATAGCCAACTCGGATAATAAGGGTAGATTAAATACACATATATTTCGAAGTTAGGAAAAATGATGCTTTCAAAAATTGTACATGCAAAAGAAGACATACTTAATACTGTCTCGTCGTTCAGTTTCCGACTAATGAAGTGCACCGGCGGGTACATACGCAGTGACTCCTTTATACACCGGTCTAAGTACTTCATCTTTGGCAAGTCGTTCATGCATGCCCAACGTTGCGAGTCTCCGAATATGTCATTGAGTTCACTTACAACTTTGTCCTGTAATTGATAATCAACATTATCATTTAAGTCGATGATCGCACGTAGGTACTTCGTTAATCATTTCAAGGATTCTAGAACATGTTTTTAAATTGCTACTCATAAGTGCTTCAGAAGTAGGTATTTAATAATTTTTGATCGCAGATCCCTTGATAATGTAATAGAGAACTTTGTTAATAAGTTAATAGTAAGGAACTGTACTGTTACTATCTACACATCTTAGTGCATGCAAAATTAACATTGCATGAACATACAAAACATATTTGTAGCTGTAATGGTCCACTAACCTGAATTTCTGGATGATTGGCTAGCAACATAAATAAGAAAGTAAGTCCTGATGCAGTAGTATCGTGCCCCTGGAAATAACATTACATTCCTGTTAATCATTTAGTTTAATTCTGTTGAATGACTATGTGACGATAGACTTACTTCAAACATAAAAGTGTCAACCTCTTCTTGTACACCAGTTTTATCAATGAGACCTTCTTGTTCTGCTGACAGAAGGAGGTCTAACATGGCAGTCTTCTTTTTCTTCTTGTACACATAGACTTCATCATCGTCAACATTCTGGTTGAAGATATCAAAACCATGTTCTTTCACATATTCTCTTCTTTGTCTTATAACTTTTTCAGTAAAGCTTTGTACTGTTTTTACAGCTTTACTCTGTTTTCGCGCGAAAGATGTAGCATTAAATATAAATTCAGGGTACAAATAAATTTTAATGAATCTATGATAAAATATGTTTCCAAGATCATAAATCGCTTTTTTGTACGTTGTGGCCGTCGAGTGTTCATTTAGTTGAGTGCCCATTGCAGTTTCTAAAATAATTTTTCACAATTTAGTTTTGACAACATTCTTTACGTAAACTATTTTAATTAAAAAATATTTCTAATTATATATAATTTAAACAGAATAAGCTCACTCCCTATTATATGGGACTCATAGCATAAATAGTGAAAAGTGGATTGTTAAATTGTACAGTGGCATTAAGTGCCTTAATCTACGTCACTGCCTATCACTTCAGGGATAAAAAGCGTGATGTTATGTTATATTTAAACAAAAGTTGTTTTGTGTTATCAACTGGCGCCTTTTATTTTGGGATCTTTGACATCACGACTGTGTATAGACCTATTTTTACCCACTAATTAAGGAGGCATCTGCTATGTTAATTAATCGTATATTTATTGTGATAAATGGTCAATTAAATTGTTAGTTAACAGGCAGATATTGGGTATAGCTATTTTCGCTGTAGTTGCGTCGCAACCTATCTTGGTACCTACTAGTACTACTTCGTACCGACTTCATAGATAAAACATTCACATTCTTCAAATACATTTACGAACATGTGTCTGTGTGTGTGATGTGTAAACCAACACATCAAGCTACCCTGTTTTAAGTGGGGGGAGTGATTATGTAATGACTTCTCCCGCTTTGGGTGAGGAGTGTCAGACTCTTACTGACTAAAAACCACCCCGTCCCTACTCCTGCACCTCGAGCCGGAACCCTGGTAACCCGTTAAGTTCTCGGCGACCCTATCTTATTATTAGCTTTATTAAGCTTCACCTGCATGGAGTTCGAATTTGAATGATTCTAATAAACCTAAGATACCTTGATTTGTACTATGCTCACCACAGATAGAATTGAGTGTGAAGTCAGAAAGTATAGGCACCACATCCACGGGTTGTCCTGCTGTCTTCTTCAGCTGATCTATCAAACGATGTGTGTTCTCTTCTATGATGACGCAGAATTGGCGCAGAATGTTAAAATGAAAGGCTGGTGTCAATATCTTCCTTCTTTCTTGCCATTTTATGCCTGGAATGATGACATTATTTGTTTATAGTTGGTTAAGAAGGTGTTTGCTTCTTTCTACGGTAAGTCTTATTGTTTCGTTGGTTTTTTTGTCATAATACTTCTGTTACTACTTAATCTTAAAAAAACATTTTTTTTATTTTCTGACATTAGGATTTATTCTTTTAAGAACTTTTCTTTTATTCTTTTTACTTTATACGTAAATAAAGTTTTGTTTGTTTTTCCCACATCAAAATGTGTAAAAAGTAAGTCAAGTGATATTAATACAATATTTTTAAAGTCTCACTATTCATTAAATCTGCATGAGGTGCTCTTTATTTCTTTCTAGTGGTTTCATTCATGTTATTCACGTGTTATTTTTAAGTTCATTAAGGAGCCTGAATACTTCCGTAGATGCATTAGACAAATGTGACAGAAGTACAATGATAAACAAAATTATGCAACTTCTCAACAGACAAGAGCGTGTTGAGAAGTTGCTTAATTTTGTTTTTACAAAATGGAGTTTGTTTTCGTAAAATTTACATTCTTACATTCAACTTACGTATTATAATACCACCATGAAATATTAGAGACATTAAGTTTAGTATCTTTGCTACTTAAAACATTCACATTGTATTAATCGGCCCCCAAGGCTGTTTTTAAATGAAATACTCTAAAATGAGAATGAAGACGATGATTCAGTTTCTTACTGTCTTAAAATGCTTTAAAACTATTTAAGTTTGTAAAGACAAATACCAAATAATACGTAGTTGAAAATATGTTTAAAGTACTATACCATTGCTTAGCAAGAGTCCATCTTGTAACCACGGCTGCAAAATTTTGTAAACCATACTTTTTTCACCATACTTCATACTGGACATGATCAACTGAAAAACTTTGAAATATTAAATTGAATAATAATAAAATTAAATAATAGCTCGAGGCAGTTCTAAAAGATGTAACAAATCATTCTCTAATTGAAAATCTATGATTTCCCGAAATGTTGAAACAAAAATGAATAGACTCTATGATGACATGACACTAAAATATGCGTCTGTGTGCACTTTACCGAGAAATTAAAAACTTTACTTCATTTCAAGAATAAATAACTAGTCAGAAATTGAATTCTTTTTTAAATGCATCCATACATATTATTTCATGAATAGATAAGTTACAAAACAGTACCTACTTATAACTTTTTGTTACCTCAATATCTTCAGGGTTATAAATAATTACAGCAGAAAATGGGTACACCCAGATCCTATATATTCCTTTCCATTTCTTGGCGAAGGTTCTTCCTAGTTTCATTAGTTCCACTGCAAAAAGAAAATGAAATAAAAATAATCATTTTTAAATTAACTTTTACTAACACTGACTGTATGTTAGCGTAGTGGTTGGGTGGCCGGATGCGGTTCGATGCCCGATAGTTATAAATATGAATCGCCAATGTCAAGTCCAACCAAAAGTAATTCTTATGAGGTATGTACCTAATCAAAATAAAATCAGGGTCTAATATTAATATGATCTGCAAACATGCGGAAAGAATTTTTATTTTTGATTGAGTTAATCTAAAAGACTACTATTTTTCAGCAATATTTACTTAATTATCACAAATTAAAATGTTTCTCTGATTAGTTTCTAATCATTAAAATAATTCAGAAGTGTCAGAAGTAAGTATATTAATTAGATAACAAAATAATTATACGCCTTCTTAATGAGCGAAGTGAGATTAAAGAATAACAATGAATGATCTGATAAAATAGATACCGCTCTCAACTCAATTAAGACAAAGCTACGATAAATATTACCTGGATCACAGATAATTCTAAATGCATTTCCTACAATAAAGTCATCCTTCGGTCCAGGCAGCTTCTTGATCATCCGAGCTTGCGCATTGTAATTCAGGAACAAATGTAGAACACCCAAAAATACCGCCACAGCACCAAAATACAACCACATTTCGATAACGTCCTATCTGATATACTGCACAAAATAGACTGATAACTCCCAGAATACGTAATTATGTAGTAACTTACCAAGTTCGGTTCGTTTCATAATTTATATAAGTGTGTATGTGTATAAAATAAATATATTTACGCACATATAGGTACAATGTATTCAATACAATTTTTTTTTTGAAAAAAATGTTGAAGGCTTTCCTTGGTAAGAAATTAGGAAAATTTCAATAAATTAGCTTTTGAGCCGTAGTTGTGTACGATGTGTATGGTAGCTTTTTACTGGAGCTAAGGTTTATTTACTGAAATATGTGCAGCTTATAGCAATTATGTCGATAAAATTTCAGTGAATTCATGTGTTTTATACCAAAAGTTATATAACAGAAGAAACTGGAGATACCTACTATTTATATATTTATGTATAGACTATCTACTATATGATATCCTCGTGCTTCAGGTATGATTTCTTTTCCTTTCAAATTATGAGTAGCCTTATGATTAATCTACGCCTCAAATTCGATGTAAATCACCAACTAAACCCAATTTTAGGAACATCAGTATAGTTTCTTAACTGGTTTGTTCTGTATAGCTTTGTTCTGTTCTGTTCTGTATGAGTAAAGCACTAAATATACCTATGTAAATAAATTCGAACACCACACATACTAACTGATTAAATAAGTAGTACATTTAAAAAGTTATCTTTTTACAGAAGTGACGCAGGTTGACCGTAAAGAGATTTTAAATTAAATTTTAATAAAATTAAGTATTCTTCTTTTAAAAACAAAATGAAAATAATATTATTAATAATCACAATGTTGCACAAACTGGAACCGTAGGCAAAACTAAATGTATAGTCTTTTGACGTAATAAACGACGTAAAAAATAATATATTATGTATAAAGCCATTTAGGCTTTTTTGTCGTTATAGCCAAAATAGTACCTAAATTATTACAAGCATTTTATAGGTATGACGAATGTATGTATATCTACATGTTATGTGTTTATATGATATAATAATAATAATAAATGCTTCACATTAATATGGTGACGCTGGATATCTCAACTAGCCGATATGGAAATTATTTGGCAAGATCTATAATCATCAGGAGTTTATTGTTTTTGTTATTGTGACTGAAATGAATGAATACTATTGTCATTGTCATATTTTTGTGTATTTACAATAATAACAGTAACAAGGTGAAATTTTGATAAACATATGGAGCATTAGGATTATTGATGCTATATAGACAACTCACAATCACTGAATCGCGAATACTATTAATGATTATACTATTTGCTTGACCTTCAATTAAATGATACATATTAATTCATTTAACAAAAAAACAACAGTTTCTTAATATTTATTAAAAAAATATATACAAAAATACAGTCTATAATTTTGTTAAATCAATCATTCTCGTTTGATAAAGTTTACGAGCACTGGACCATCGTTCCTGAGTACCAAGTCAGCAGTGAATGTGATATCGCAGGGACGCGTGACGGGGGACAGGTGGAACTTCCTCAGTACCTTCGCGACCGCAATCTTCATTTCCATCATTGCAAACTTTTGACCTGAAGTAATTACAAAACATTAATTAATTAAATCAATTAATAACACGCTGATACTGTGCTTATCTCGAGAATGATAATATTGACCGGTTCGAGAAAGTGTTGTCTACTTTGGCATTCACAATTATAAATGGATCAAATCTGTACAACTAAAGTTTAGTTTGAGTATTGATGACTTATTCATACTCATTCCAGCGACAGTGTGACCAAGACTTAAAATGTCGCCAGAATGAACACAAAGCGTAGCTGAAAGATATGTTATCCGAAATACTTATAATAGAAAAAGACGTCTTTTCGATTCATTTAATACTCAAAGATTAAATATAATGAATTGTACAATTACCTATACAATTTCTAGGCCCAGCACTAAAGGGAATGTATGCGTATGGATGTCTGCCGACACTGTTCTCCGGAAGGAACCTGTCAGGGTCGAACTCTTTCGGGTTCTTGAATAAGTCGGATCTATAATGCAGGTCTAAGATCAGAATGTGACAAAATGATCCTGCTGGTATCGTGTAATTACCTAAAAATGAAGATCACTATTAGTACTGAAAATAATATGTAAGAAAAATGTAAACTATATATATACGCGTACTTAATACTGTGTCCTCATTCAAATTACGACTAATAAAGTGCACTGGTGGGTAAAGCCGCAAGGACTCTTTGATACAACATTCTAAATATTTCATCTTCGCTAAATCTTCCATCTTAATAGGCCTGTCCTCATCACCGAATATCTCATCTAGTTCTTGAATAATTTTATCCTGAAATATTATTTTATTATAATAATGATAAGTCGTAATAAAATTATATTTATCATTTTCAATCCAATATTTTAGATAGGATACCGATTCGACTTAAAGAGCTGACCTGAATTTTCTTATGATTAGCGAGTAACATAAAACAATATGTCAGGCCGCTAGCAGTTGTGTCGTGACCCTGAAACATGTAAACCGCATTTACATAAAAGAGAAAGTTCCACTGAAATTTTTTCCAGAAGAAGTTCAGGATAATAACTTACCTCAAACATAAAAGTGTCCACTTCTTCTTGCACACCGATCTTATCAATATGTCCTTCTTTCTGAGCGGACAGAAGTAAGTCTAACATTGCAGTTTTCTTCTTTTTCTTGTAAACATACGAGTCATCGTCATCAGCCTCAATTTGTTCATTAATGTTGATGCCATTCTTCTCGATATATTCTCTCCTTTGTTCTATTACATTCTCAGTAAAACTGTGCACAACTTTCAAATATTTATTTTGCTTTTTTCCCAAAGGCGACAGGTTGAATATGAAATCTGGATACAGATATACTCTTACAAATCTGTCAAAGAATACAGATCCGATGTCGTAAATAGCTTGTTTGTACGATCGGGCAGTGCTGTTATCGTCCCTTAATTGAGTGCCCATTGCAGTTTCTGCAACAACAATAATATTTTAATTCATGTTGAAGAACACCCGACCCATTATATTTTAAATATCATATAAACAGAGCCAGACGCTATTTGCCACAATTTGTAAATAATTTAAGACATAATTATCTCATTGTTTTGAATACGATTGAGACAAATTACTCGTCCTTTATTCTCATTGTAACGTAATGAGATCTTATTCTTGTATTTGTCTCATCAGAATCGTCAAATATTTAACAATAAGAACTATTAAAATTCCCAATGTCAATAGAGACTCAAGTATCTGACAAAAGGGTTAAATAGCAGATAACTTAAGGCAAAGTTCACTTAGATACATTTACTTCTATGTTCCCGGATCTTGACAAAAATAATTTTAGTTAATTTTCTCGTATATGGACGTAATATCACACATTGATATTACGCCCGTTTGCCTATTTTGTTTGATTTAAATCTTTCTCATCCAAAAAGTCAAAAAAGTTACTGAATTTCGTGTATCCAATGAAATGTTAAATGACACGATTGTGACGAACGTATTTTGCTTAATTTACATCTTTTATCGATTTCGTATGTTGTTCGATTAAGGTATACACGCAATAGCTACGCACCACAGATGGAGTTAAGGGTAAACTCCGAGAGGACAGGCACCACATCGATGGGTTTTCCTGATTTCTGTTGCAGCACTTCTAGGAACCTCTCGCTGTTCTCATCTAATATCTCACAGAACTGCTTCAGTATATTGAAGTGGAAAGCTGGAGTCAAAATCTTCCTGCGTGTCTGCCATTTTTCTCCTATTAAAGTAATTTTGTTATCGTTATTATAGAATGCCTCGTTCAAGACAAAACAATGCTGATGATCTATTTGAAGTGATAGCAAAAAGGTTGACAAACTTAACCTTTTTTTAATCCTGGGATTAAAGTCACGGATCACAACTCGATGTTACTTAATATCCATTTTCTTTAAATAATGAAATATACATTTTATAGTTACCGTTACTGACGAGTAAACCGTCTCGTAGCCAAGGCTTCAAGAAATTGTAGACAAAACTTTTCTCACCGTACTTCATACTAGACATAATTATCTAAAAAAAAGTTTTAATAATGTATTTATTTGTACAACTCGTCGACTATACTATAATAATTTCAATAAATAAAGTCACTACCTCAATGTCTTCAGGATTATAAATAAAAACTGCACCAAATGGATATATCCACACTCGAAAGATTCCATCGAATTGACTGGTAAGCTCTCGTCCAATTTTCATTGTCTCAACTGTGTAATGAATGAAAGATAGGTAAATGAAAATTGAAATTATATACGAAAACTAATTGCCATATTCTTCAAAAAACCCCTTTATGCTTCTAGCAATAATGGATATAAATCTAATGAAGTTAAAGTTGGTTATTCCGTCGTCATTGTAATATGGTTATGACAGTGTAACTTAATACCGAATAAAGTCAATTTTATAGCTAAGTTCCGTTAAAATTAATTTATAGTTGTAATGGCTTTATGAAGGCATCACCGAAGTCTAGGTCTGTAAATTCATAAATCGTTCAGAATTCAACAAACTGTAGTTGTAGTGGTCTTCTACATTTTGTTGTGTTTATCATTATTATGAGGATATGTGACTAAAAATTTATTGAAACAGAACAAAAAGTAGCCAGCTGAAACTAAAGTGAGCCCAATGTAAGTACGTCACTAATCGTCACGATCATATTCTGATATTCATTATTATGTTTTTTGGCTTACGGTAACAACTACAGTAGCAGAGCAACAGTCGCCGCGTTGCGGGTGCAGCAGAATGCTGCACATGAATATGGGCCTCTCGTCAAATAATTATGTGAGTAAATCGAAAAACATAATAATTAATTTAGAATGTCTCTTGAAAGTGATTATCTTATGATTCGTACCAGGCGATCGTATGACAGTCCATCCATTACCAACGATGAAATCATCTTTAGGCCCGGGTAATTTTCTAATCATTCGAGCTTTTTCATTGTAGTTGAACAAAATGTGGATGATGCACAGAAATATAACTATTCCTAATAAATACACGAACATTTTGAGTAACGTCCTAGTGCACTAATGTTTGAAGTACGACTGATAACAGTTGAAGTATTAATTGTACATAAAAAAATTATCAGCATAACTACACGAAATACTCCAATAGTTTGTTTATCGTGTGAGATAAAGATGAAAATAAATATATTTTTGAATCATAATTAATTAAGTTAGGTGGATTATATCAGTCACTAAATCAAGTTAATTAGGTTGGGTTGTAGAGTGCAAGACAAATAAAACTGAAATTAGTTGTGGTAGTCTATTGTATTAGATTAGGTCCTACACGTAAATAAACAAAGATTATGACAGTAATCGATCCAAACAATGATGTAATATTGAAATGTTATGAGTATTTATGTTTACGTAAACTATATAGGTACATATAGGTAAGCACGAAAATTTTCGTGTTGTCTAACTGGATCTTAAGTGTAAGTATAAATATAGGGCAAAATACCAAAAAAAAATTAATCTTGTTAAGTTAATGAAGGTTACAAACCACTATAACAATATAAAACGTTAAGTAAAAGATAAATAATCATGAGAATGCATAGGTGATGAATTGTGATTTAACCGTACTGCTTAGGCTGCACTATAAGCATAAATCGCAGAGAATTTTAACCGCGCGAGTTTTGTGACACTAGAAAACAAACTGTATTTGTCTACAACAAATACTCGGACAAAATCAGAAGAGCAGCCAGTGCAGATCTTTATAAACTTTCACATTTATAATTGCGATAAAATTAATAACATTTCAAAAATGCCATTTACACAACACATCCGTAAAGATAACCCTGTTTTATCTGTAATCCTTGCAATGATAAAATAAAATGTAATGCTAAATTTTTTGATAATCTTTGGACTTTACATATTATTAATTATAACATCATCTGCTAAGGTACACCCTGTTAAATCCATTGGATTTTTCTTCTGTCTGATTTAATGTGAAATGTGAGAATCGTGAGAACGAATAAATGAAAGTAACTTAAGTTAAATACTTTCCTTTCAAAATTAAATGTATGAATCTTCATTTTTCATGATGTAATTCCAGACAAATAAAGACTTCTTCTTAAAGGCTGCTATTTACTCGGAGTATTATAAATGTCATGTCCAGTGTATGCTAAGGTTACCATTGCTTCACCTCCCATTAGATGAAGAAGAAAAAAGTGCACGTAAATCTACGAAATGTTCTTTATTCTTTAGTGAGCACGGTGAAATAAAATAAAACAAATAAGTTTAATTCTTATATTTTCAACCCATATGTTTATTTTATAACAAAGCAGTCCTTTACATACAAATATAGTTAAAGTACGTTATGATTATTCAGTTTTATGATTCTCGTTTGATAAAATTGACGAGCACGGGACCATTATTCCTGAGTACCAAGTCAGCAGTGAATGTGATGTCGCAGGGACGCGTGACGGGGGACAGATGGAACTTCCTCAGCACCCTAGCAATCGCTATCTTCATTTCTATCATGGCGAACTTTTGACCTGAAACAATGGTTGATATTTCCTTTTAGAGTACACTGAGGTCATTGAGGACATCAATTATAAACACTGATAAAGTACTCTTATCACATTTGTCTACAGATTAGGCCCAGATTAAGAACATCGATTATTAAAATCTATGTTAAGAGTCTGCCACGTGTTTGAATTGTATTGTACTTGAAGGGGTAGCTAGATAAATTATCAAATACCGATCAAAGAAACAAGCTGTATAGAAATATGGACTTATAATATACCTACCGAAAATGGTCGAGATACGTGAGATGCTATTTTGGATTTCGATATTTACGAGAAGTCTACCGGTGATCGTGAACAATAAAAAACATGGTTATGATTAACATAGATAAATAACTTAAATTTTAAGAATAAATTTTTTGTACTTACCTATACAATTTCTTGGTCCAGCGCTGAAAGGAATATACGAGTACGGATGCCTACCAACACTGTTCTCTGGCAGGAATCTGTCAGGGTCAAACACTGTCGGGTTCTTAAACAAATCTGGTCTCAAGTGCAAGTCCGAGATCAAGATGTGGCATAATGTTCCTGCTGGTATCGTGTAATTACCTGAAAATGTATAAAAATGTAGTAAAACTATTTCTTATGAAAAAACCACTGGATTTTAAAAGTATAGAAACTTACTTAGAACGGTCTCCTCGTTTATATTACGACTAATAAAATGTACTGGTGGGTAAAGCCGCAAGGACTCTTTGATACAGCAATCTAAATACTTCATCTTCGCTAAATCTTCCATCTTAATAGGCCTGTCCTCATCACCAAATATATCATCTAGCTCTTGAATAATTTTATCCTGAAACATTTTACTCATTAATTTAATCTATCAATGCATATGTTTTGTCTGAAATACGAGTACATTCGTTGTATGATTTCATGGAACAGTCTGTGTGCAAAATTAAGATCAATTAACTAAGTTCAATTACTAACCTGAATTTTCCTATGATTAGCGAGCAACATAAAGCAATATGTCAGACCGCTGGCAGTGGTGTCATGACCCTGGAATTATTAAACCAGAATAGAATACAATATATCGAAAAAGTTGCACCAGGATATATTTTTTTTAGTAACTCTAACCTCAAACATAAATGTGTCCACTTCTTCTTGCACACCGATCTTATCAATATGTCCTTCTTTCTGAGCGGACAGAAGTAAGTCTAACATTGCCGTTTTCTTCTTTTTCTTGTAAACATACGAGTCATCGTCATCAGCTTCAATTTGTTCATTAATGTTGATGCCATTCTTCTCGATGTATTCTCTCCTTTGTTCTATTACATTCTCAGTAAAACTGTGTACTACCTTCAAATATTTACTTTCTTTCCTTCCCATTGACGTCAAATTGAAAATAAAGTCTGGATACAGATATATTCTAACGAATCTATCAAAAACTAAACATCCGATGTCATAAATAGCTTTTTTGTACGATCTGGCAGCGCTGTTATCATCGCTTAATTGAGTGCCCATTGCAGTTTCTGAAAGTAAGTTTATACAGTGAAACGACTATTATGAAGCAATGACGTAATAACAAATACCATAGATATTTTATGTAGAGGGTTTTTTTTATATCACGGCAGTGGCAAAAAAGCGTGGTCTTGTAAACGCTAGCAACAATTGGATACATTACATGTGCCTTGCCGACCCTTGAAAAGGCTTAGTTATTATTTTATAATTTAGATTTATTGCTTTTTACTGTTTATCATTTTGATTCATGGGAAGTGCAGAGTTCGAATTACATATCATCTCAAGCACTGCACAACATTTCTAACACAACTGATATTATTTGCTTCGTTGAATACATGCAAACTTTCTTAGACAGTGCTTACGCCCGAATACTCACAGGCTACTTAACTAAATATCGTGTCATCTCTGTAATCCTTACTAATATTATAAATGGAAAAGTGAGTTTGTTTGTTCCGCTTTCACGCCGTAGCTACTCAACCGATTGCTTTGAATTTTTGCAGACGTAAAGTTAGAAGTCTGGATTAAATAATGGGGTACTTTTTTGATATTCTCGAGGGAAAACGAAATTATTGGTATAGATGGCGCTGTATGTATTGGTATATGTCACATAGGCTACTTTTTATCCTTTTGTGACGCGAGCGAAGCCGCGGGTAAAAGCTAGTTTTACCATAAAATAATGTTTAGTGACAGAACTATACTTAAGCACGACTTAAAATTGATATATGAGTCCCATGTAATAGGGGGTAAGCCTATTACCATGTCCCGGGCACAATTCCAGACTCCGTGCTGCTACTGAGATTTTTTTTAAAACCCAGTTGGTAATACTTTGCCCGATACGGGAATCGAACCCTAGACCGCTTGCCCGGCAGTCGCACTTGCGACCACTCGGCCAACGAGGCTGTCACTTAGCTTCTCTTCTTTCCTAGGTTTACTTATCTTCTAGTAGGTACTACTGCAATACTATCAATAGTAATAAAACTTTCCTATGAAAAGACTATAATCTAATGTTTAGCAATACGGCAGAGCAGATAACGTAGCTAAGGCAAAGTTCATTTCTTTTATTAAATGCGTAATTAAAGTGATATATTTTAGCCAATACATTAAGTAAAATTTGAAGTATGTACACGATTGTGAATTAATTATTTTTGTGGATATTTTCAAGTGATATGATGTTAGCGTTACTTTTGTATTTCGTTTTTCAAAATTTATTTAAAGAGTCTCCAGCTCCAGGCGCATTCCCATCGCTCTCGGAAAATTCACACTTTTATTAAACTACAAAAGGAGATATTGTATGGTACTCGATACAATAAAGTTTAGCAATACTCACCACAGATGGAGTTGAGGGTAAACTCTGAGAGTACGGGCACCACATCAATGGGCTTCCCTGCAGTCTTGTGCAGCACCTCCAGAAACCTCTCGCTGTTCTCGTCTATGATCTCACAGAACTGCTTCAGTATGTTAAAGTGGAAAGCTGGAGTTAGGATCTTCCTACGTGTCTGCCATTTTGCACCTTAAATAGAAACAAAATAATTATGGATACTTGTTACACTTTGTTGTTCCTTTATTCTTGTCTTTACTCTTCTAAGGTTATTATTTTGTATAATTTGTATTTGTAAAAATATCTGTATTTTTATAATGCTTTTTATTTCTTTCTTTGCCGAACATTTTGTGAATATTTTTGTTTGCAATTCAATAAGTTTTTCATAATTACCGTTACTGACGAGTAAACCATCTCGTAGCCAATTCTTCAAGAAATTGTAGACAAAACTTTTTTCGCCATACTTCATGCCCGACATGAGTATCTGTTTAAAAAAAGAAATAATTTAAATAAACATACAAAAGCTGATTTTGTTGCAAGCATAATTATAATGATCTAGAACACCTAATAAGCACGGCTCGGGCCTGGCTGTCATTTAAATATGAACTTTAAATTGTACGTCGTGTAAGATATTTTATAACGTTATTAGGAAACCTTTTTGTATTGTTTCCAAAGCAAAAAACCCCGTGCCGGAGCCATGCTTGAGTCGTGCCCAAGCCGTGCTCATTGGGTGTGCGATGACTTTAATAATTATAGGTTACTGACCTCAATATCCTCAGGATTGTATATGCAAACCGCTCCCATTGGACAAATCCATATTCTAAAGATTCCATCAAATTCTGTGCATAGTTGTCTTCTCATTTGCATGGTCTCGACTGTGTTAAAAGAAAAGATTAATTCAGATAATCATTAACAAGTGAATTAATTTAATTGTATCTGCATTTCATCGGAAAACTTGTACAAGATTTTCAAAACGCTGTCCAATTTTTCTTGAAATCTTTGAATACTTATACACACAGATGTAAACTTTTATATGCGTGCGTGTACGGATATAGAAAAGTTATTCCAGCATTCAGTACTGCCTAGTACTGTACCCTATGACTTTTAATTATCCTTTTTTATTTTCTACAAATTGAGGTGTGAACTAATCTGTGAAAATAATTATTTGTAATAGTAATCGTTAATTATTTTGCGCAATGTTTCCATTGCATCCAGTGCAAGAAATTTTTAAAATAATCGTTTGTAATAGAGCTATAAGTATGTAGGTACGTACGTAAATAATCAGTCTGTGAAATCATTAGAATTATATCTTATATACCTATGTACTTATAGTATTATTTTTCTAATATTGTTAATAACCAAACAGCATTTCCCTAAACATCCACAATTTACCTGGAGAACGTATAACAGTGAATCCATTGCCAATAATAAAGTCGTCTCTAGGGCCGGGTATTTTTCTGATCAGTCGAGCCTTCCTATTGTAGTTGAGCAAAATGTGGGCAAGACACAGAAATATAACTGCTACCACTAAATACGCGAACATTTTGTAAAACGTCGTAATGCAATAATATTGAAAGCACTACTGATTATTATTGAATCGATGTATTGTTTATATCGCGAACTTTATCAAATACACATATACCTAGTATAATTTATATCAATAAATGATTAACTAGACATTAGATAAAGATCCTTTGTATGTGAATTGAAATTATTGTTCAAAGAAACTCTGTATCAATACAGAGTCAAAGAAACTGCTAAAGTTATGGTGGTTAGGTATTTGCAATCAAAATATGATGCAGTTGCGCTTATTTAAATTGGTTTACGAACAATTTTGGCGATGTTAAGAATCAGAATACATCAATTAGAAAATAAATACTTTTCTATTATACCTAATTGAAGACTTGCATTTTCCTTCCATTCAGCTTGAAACATATTTTGAAATAAATACGTTAAATTCACTATGTGAGCTCGCTATCAGACGAATACTTTCTTAACAGAAACGTTGTAATATAAAATAGGTATTTTTAACCGAAAATCATAATCTCTGATTCTTGATTACTGATTCCATCTGAAGGTTTTGTGTAAGGAATTGTATTTTGCGATAAGACCGATTATTGTACACGCAAACATTTTAATCAATATTATTTCGAGTAAAGCTCGAGGCATAAGCTAGTAGTATCTAATTATATATGTAATCTTTAGTTCATAGATAAAAACTAGATTGAACCCATTCACTGCTAGGATCCGAGGCTTATGATAATATTCAAGATATTTAAAAATCAAACGGACCTATTACGTTTATCGCTAGCTTTTACACGTGTTAGTATTTTTTACTTACAGTCTTCCATGGTATCTTCTATGGATCTTAATTATTTAAGATTAAATAGTATTTGCGTCCTAACCTAATACATAAAAATGTGTATGTAACTAGAATAAATAATGAAGTAACTAAAAATCGCGGGTTACTCACGTGAATATAATGAGAAAAGCTCTCTCTACTAGTTTCGAACCACAGAGAGGTTCTTCCTCGTGAGTTAGTAACCCGCGATTTTTTGTTAATTTAGTATGTCTCACGATAGTTATTATAAATTATGAATTGTCACAGTCTTGATGAATTTACGAAGTCTACGTAACTTTTAATGTACTTTTAACCGACATTAAAAAAGAAGGTATATGTTTGTTTGTTTGTATGTATGTTTGTGCGCGATTATCCCGCAATTGGCTAAAGCAATTTTGATGCGGTTTTTAGAAAAGTATTTGTTACACTTTGGAGAAGATTTGAGTATATTAATTAACCGATTTCAAAAAAAGAGGAAATTGAAGTCGGTTTTTTAATCTATTATTTGCGAACGGAAGGCCAGGCAGAGTTCACCCTTTGCCCAGAGTGTATGCAATCTTATCAAATTATAGTGTTTATATAAACAGATGTCATATTTACCTATACGTACACGCTACATACAATTTGATATATAATTTCTACAAACGAAAAAATATACTATAATTAATAATGTTGCAAAATATGCGACGAACACTTGATAAATGAAGAGTATAATGTTAAATTTTGTCGCTTAACAGCTTCGGCTTTATGATGCGTAAAGTGGACTCACCCAATTGTGCTGTTTGTGGAGTGGTCGAAGACGTGTATCATATCCTTGTCGAGTGCAACCGTATTGGGGCTCAAAGATGTCACGCCTTTGAAGTCGCAAATTGTAATGTAGGCTACTATAATAGCATTCTGGCTTCGCCATTGTCGGATGAGTCCAGAATTCTTATTAATATTATTATTATAGGTACTAGGTTGCGGGTAGGTTAACTTAAATGTAAGTCTAAGTATAAGTGTTCTTTTTTGTTATTTTTGTACTCAATAATCGGGGTGACGTTTTCTTTTAAGAAAAAGCCCTGTAATTAAATAAAGATTAAAAAATTAAAAAAAATGTTAAATTTCTATAAACAAAAGTCAATGTTATTTGTAAAGAGCCAGACAGTGAAATATAAATAAAATGAGTCAGGATGCGATAATGTGGCTACCTACGCACAGTGGACGATGGTGCCTGGTGATTTAACGACATATTTTATAGACATTAAAATAAACAAAGGAAAAGTCGTACGTGATGCTAATGAGATAACGGTAAGGTGGACAGCAGAAAAAAATGGAACTACATCCAGTTATTTAGAGTGGTACGTCATCGCTGCGTCGGTTCTTCGCTCTACTACGCTCAGATACAAAGAGTGCTACGCTGCTACGCCGATTCTACTCTGTACAAGTGCCCGCTCTGTGCCCGCAGCTGCATGGAGTGATACGGTGCAACACCGATTCTACACTTTATTGCACCTAGTTACAAGAAGTGCTACGCCACTACGTTGGTTTTACGTTATACTAAACCCAGCTACAAGGAGTGCTACGTTGCTACTCCGATTCTATGCTATACTACGCCAAGCCACAATGAGTGCTACGCTCAGCTACAATGTGTTCTACGACGGTTAGCCCATTCTACAATGTTCTACGCTTAGCTACACGGAACTATACGCCATTACGTTGATTCTGCGCTGTATTACTCCTAGCAACAGGGAGTGCTACGTCGCTACGACGTTTCTATGCTATACTACGCCAACCCACAAGAAGAGGCTGTTACGCTCGGCTACAAGGAGTCTGCGATGCTAAACCCATTGTGCAATGTACTGCGCCTAGCTACACGGTATGATACGCCGCTACGTCCATTCTACGCTGTCTTACGCCCATCTACATAAAGGAATACGCTGCTGTGTGGAATCTATGCTATAAGTACTACACCCAACTACATGAGGCACTAAGCTACTATAATTCTAGGAAGTACTACACCCAGCTATTTGGAATGTTATGTATGCCGCTATATTAACGTACCACTACGTTACACCACTATGTCTTTTCTGCAGTTACCCTATGACTTCTGCACACAACTAAAGAAACTACACGGTTCTCTATTCTGTGGTTGTCTATGTTCGTCTGCGCTACGCTTCTGACGATGAACAATACAAATCTTACATTAGGTAAACGACCTGGTGAATGGTGATTGATATTATTAGGTACTTAAGATCTCACGTCAGTACCATATCATAACTCAATGATCAAACCACAGGCTTACCGAATAGTTCTTTTTTCATACTTTGCTACTATTACCTGTATTAGTTCATAGACATATTTGTCAAAATCATTACGAATGTATATTGACTTCAGATTTAATTAACTATTGAGAGTTATGATATTTTTCATTTGAAATTACTTTAAACTTATTCTAAAGGTAATCTACATTGCTCCATCTCTGTTATAAAGAAACATCTTGATACAAATAAAGTAGTGCCTGTCATAATATCTGAGAGCAATCTGTTCAATCGACCTCAATTACTTACAGTGTAGGCACCGCAGCGTGCAGCTCTAGGCCAGTGGAGCCAGTGGAGGCATGAACTAACTATAATATTTATAGATCACAATTATCGACTTTATTGCTAATGTCTTTTGAATGTAACAGTTTCTAGAGAAATCTACGGAATCCTTTTTTTAATTTAGTATAACTGTTTACATATGCTCGGTAACATATTGGATATATTTGATCGGCATCAAATTAAATTCGACTTTAATGATCACAATAAAAAGTTATCATAGAAGTCATTAGGTATTTAAAGAGTGTTGCATCAATAACTTTTTCATCCACTTGAGGATTTTAAAATCCGTTTCTAAAATTAAGGCAATTGAATAACCTTAGCAAGCAATAGACGGACTTTTATTACTGCAACTTTATTAGTCAGCCTTGTCGTATATCTTGAAACAATAGAGCATGTATTACTCAGTGTAACTGGTATATACCAGTGGCGCCACAATAATAGAAAAACAAACCTCTTAATTATGGAACTGAACAACTATCTATTGATTGACGCACGAGGCTATTAACAACAAAAGGAGCATTATTGATTGTCATTTGTAGGCATGCATATAATATATTGTTCCATAGTCCATGTAATTTATTCCCACATACGTACGATTTTCCTGTCTATGTCCATTTAAATTTTATGCTTGTCCAGTTTTTTGGGAAGATTTGTGACAATTTTTAAGACTGATGTTCAATTTGTAAAAATGCCAAGAGAACTGAAACTGTAAAATAAATCTACATCAGGGTGGCAAAAGAAAGAGTAAAGATGAAGAATAGTATCCAATATAGTTCAACTAGTAGTGTGTCTTATTGTATAAAAATTACGGCGTCATCGGTGCTCAAATGTAGGCTTTATTTTTTACAGTACCAAATATGGTTTACCAATTTAAACCTTCAATTATTGTAGCTTTCCATTGATATTTGGTGTCTAAGGCTCTTATTAAGTAAGTAGGTACACATCATACATTTGTGGTACTAAAAACAAACTGAGAGGTATCTGGATTAGGGACTATATAGGCCAGGGATGCCGAATCATTGGCACGGAATACAAAATGTTTGGCACAACATTGTCACATTAACCACAAAATAATGCGTTTGTAATGTCCATATTTTTATTGTATTGCTAACAAGAAAACACAGTTTAAATTTTTCAATTGGCATAATTGTTAACTTTGTGTTAATTCTTGTTAAATTGATGTGAAAAATCACCTTGCAGGTAACATCTTACCATCAGACCAATTAAAAACATTGTTGCTACTGATTAATGGTAAAAAAGGAAAAATTTGTTGATGGCACACCTTAGACCTCAATACACATTTCTTGCAAGTAAATGGCACGTCAATATGTAAAGATCAAAGAGTATATAAGTATAGGGGGTAAAGATTCGCCATCTCTGACATAAGCTGTATATTATCCATGTTTTACGTAGGTATATTATCCTCATGTCCAATATTTATCTTATGTATTAGATATGATGTTTGTTCTTAATCTATCTCAAACTCTTGAATAACAAGAACAACAACTCAAGGATGCTTTACTATCTTGTTAATACTGTTAAAGTGACGAGTTACACGAAAATAATACGCTGTCATCACTAAAAATTCACGGTTAGATAATCCCAGTTCTTCAAAATATGATATCATACATACTGCTATAGGGGTCGTTCTCAAAAAAGTGGCTCAGATCGATTAAATTTGTCAATTTCAAAAAATGTTTCAAATGTCGAGTTTTTTTTATGAAAATCTATTGGCAGTGTTTTACTGAAACTGAATTAATGAAAGGGAAGCAGATTTACTGGAAATTGAGTCGTATAGAGCCTTCTGAAAAATTGACTTCACAGGTTAAAGAGGTATTGTCCAGATTACTGAGAAAACGGTACCAGGTTAAATAGAAATAAACAGGTTACAGAAAAAAAACAACGTAATCATGCAAAATCAACGTTTATTATATTATATGAACTAACAAAAATAACGGTTTTTATAAACGTAACAAATCACAGCTTCCTCAAATGAATTAAACATTAATTTAAACATTTACGAATAAAAACACATATAGAATAGCTGTACTATATTCTCATAATCTAAATTAGAATTTAATCAGTCCCAAACAGTTAACAATTATTATTTAAAAACAACGTAAAAAGACATCTAGGTACCATTATTATAAACATCCTTTTTAACAATCACAAACAAGGTAAATGGTCTTATAACAAAATTATATACCAATCAGTCTTAAATCAGCTATCAATAGTAATTCTAAAAGTACTAGGTGCTTAAATTTAGAGTTATTTCGTGTTATATTATAATATTAAGAAGTATAGGAGTTGTCAAAAAATACTTGCAATAAATGAACCGCATTGGAGGTATTATTCTGAACAACCCTTTCTATGAGACTGACTCTGTAATGTGGAAAAAGACATAACATTGAAACAGTTGCTCAGATTGATGAATGCAATGACTCCTTCTATTTCACACAGATTTATAAACACCTTATGTTAAACAATCACATACAAAATAGAAAACAGTAAATAGTTAAAAAATAGTGTAGTCTGAATCACTATCATTACCTTCAATATTCTTAAAAGAATTCAATGGAGACATAGTCACGTTCGCAGGCCCTTCATCTAATATGTTATCTAAAGTACTTCTTTGGAGTTCCGGAGGTAATTCCATTTCAGACAAAGCTGAAAATGGTGTCGATCTATGAAGAACTGTTACTAATTCTGGTTGAATGAAATCATCTGCTACATTAGTACCAGGGACAACAAAGCTATCTTCGTCGGAGTCAAAACAATTTTCTGAAATTCGAGTAGTAGCCATAGCAGATGATCTTTTTCGTGAGCACCTGGATATTGCTGGTGATATAACTTCCTCTGTAATAATTCTATGAAAACCAAGATGTTTACCGTGTTTACAGAATTCAGCGTAAGTTAAACAGGTTTCTTTTGTACAACTAAGTTCTCTTAATACTACCATTTTTGGCTTTGTATTACTCCATACAATTTGGTGAACTTTCTGTGTTCCTTTAACACGTTAAACGCCATGGCAGACACCGGTGACCGACATTAGCGGAGGATTTGCCTTCAACAGTTTTTTATTGGCAGCCAATGCCTTAAATGGCAGTAAAGTATTTGGTAGAAGCAAATCTTTTTCAAAGATCTTATAGTCTAAAATAGTATCGATTTTTATATTTTGCAACTTGTCTTTTAGTAATAGTGTAAAAGATTCGAAATCCTGTACATCATTTCCATGACTTACACTTGCATCGGCAGTACGTTTTAATACGGCCCCAACTCCATCTGGAGCGCCTTTACCGTGGCCGGATTCAGAGTAATTCCATGTTACACATTTCAGGTCAGGGTAGTTCCATTTCAAAGCTGTGATAACAAAGTATATTTTATAATTTCGATATTGACTGCCAGCAGAATCTGAAATAATATGAAAGGTCTTTACTTGTGGGGAATGTATTCTAAGGAAATCTAGTAACGGTTCCATGTGGGCCCATACTGCTGCTGAGTCATGTCGCAGATTTGGACTGAGAGTGGCAAAACATTGTGTTTGTTTTTTTCTATTAACATCAAAGAAATAAAGCACACTGGTGTGTATGGTAATTTGTGGCTTGCTTGCACCGAAGTGTGCGGATTGAATTTCTTTCGAGTAACTGCATTTATAATTTTCCGAGTAATCGATGTGAATAACAGCTTCGTCAAAATTTAACCGTTCTTTAATTTCCTTTATTGCCTTTTGCTGACTAACCATTCTTCCACAATGATTCATGTACTTCTCTATGATCTCTTCGAACTTTTGAATGGCTATATTTGGAGTACTTACTATTTTTTCCTTCTTAACTAGTCTTATTACTTTATCACATCCATTTTGTACTATATTTTCAGTCTTTGAGTTCCAGGTCCAATAACAGAAAACAATATCCCTGTCATATTCCAAATATTTGATGGATTTATTTTTACATTCCGGGCAATCACGAAATAGGCACTTAGCATTATTTTCGGAGCATCAAATAGTTTTAAGTAAATTGGTAGGATCTTTGGGTTCAATTATTTTATATTTGTGGAGTGCAGACACAAAAAGCTTAAAATTTTCATGAATAACACAGAGACATGTTTCTCGAGGTCGTTTAGAGGCTGGTAAAATCCAAAATGGTCTAAATCGACAAAAAGTACTAAAACTGACAGCGTATCTATGAGAGGACATAAATTTTTTATGAAGGTTCCCAAGAGAATCATTCAAATAACGTTTCTGTTCTTTAACACCATCTTTCTTAACATATTCTTTCTTTCCTGCTGCACAGCTACTATTATCATCAGCTGAGAGAAATATTTTTATATCATTTTTCTTTTGCAAGACTGACATGTTCTTAAGCGGTAAACTACGTGTTCTAAACAAATTCTTGAACTGACTTTTAAATTTAGTGGCGTGAATCGAAGTTTCAAGATGCGGTTGAAGACTATTAGAAATCATTTGTTTCATTTTGTAAGATTTTACGCTCTTGTAAGAACGTAAAACGCCTTCAGCAATAGGATCATCATGGCTAGCATTTTGAGAACTTTGGAGTTTAGAAAATAATTTTACCGAACGAACACTATCTTGACGATTTTCTTGAAGAGGTCTCATTCTCGAAATTTTTTTGCGATAAGTATCATTTAACTTTATTACTGATTGTAATTTAAGTCGTAAGGATGCTATTTCTTTATCTTTTTTGTAGCGCAATTTTCGAACCAATTTTTGAGCATTGGGTGATATAATTCCAGAATTTACTGAAGAACCTTGCGAGTTAGCTGGACTAACTTCTCTAGACCTAGAATGCGATCTGTTTATTCTTTTACTTTGATAATTAAGCACCGCGGAAGTTGATGGTTGTTCTCTAAGATCATTGATATTATTTATATTTATGTTCTCGATGTCTGGACTGGTAGGAGGACTGTTGCATTCAATGAAGCGCTGGATTCTTGCTTTTTCTTCTTTTTTACGTTGATAGGACCGTCTAGCATCTTCTCGCCACTTTTTTCTTAACATTTTTTGATCCCTTGGTGTTAAATTATTTATTGAGACTACTTTCCCTTCAAGTTTTCGTTTCTGATATTTTTTCTTGTTTTTTTCCTTATATTTCGCGTATAGTTCTGGGTTATTTTTAATTTTGTCATATCTCTTTCTTTCAAGTTCTCGTTTTCGCGCTAAAATATCTTCTCTCTTCTTATTTTTTGGCATTTTACCTTTGACAAAAAAAAAAAAAAATAGGTTAAACCGTAACCTAGCAAAGGACATAGCGGACCTAGGCAAAAAAAACCGTAATAGTAATAATAAATTATTCAAAAATTAAAAATCAAAACTAGTTTATTCAAAAGCTGATAAACTTCACTCTAACTCATCAACAAACTCAAATATATTTTCAGTAAGGATATTAAGTATTGATATCTAAGTAAATATGCCTAAATGTCACGAGTAAAAATAAATTTGTATTAAAAAATGGGTCAAAAATCTTTAACCTGTAAGCAATCTCTTTAACCTGTGCATTTTTAACAGGGTAAAGACACACAGGTTACTGAGAAAACGTAGGTAAACATTAGATACCAACAAAACGGTTAGGTTGTTTTAAGTTACTCTTATAGAATCATATCCAGGCACCTAATGACATATTTTAACATAAAACATTTCAAAGCAATTCACATACAAACAAAAGAAAGTAGGTCAGATAATAGACAACACACCTGTTACAAAATCCGATTGCGATGTATCGATGTATTTTCCAAGAAAACAGCACACACTAAACGCGTCTTTCTTTGACAACAGTTAGCCAGATACTGTCGGCTTATTTCGCGTGGGGATAGAGTGTTGCTAACGTTATAGTCTGTGGGTAATGATCAGTAGTGTGCAACGCCAGGTTGTGGAGAAAAAATCTCTGGACAGACGTTACGCATGAATATCTTAAGAACTATATGTATTTATGTGCAAAAATTAAAATCACGTTAAAACAATTATATAACAAATTAGGTTTTATTTTATTTAAGTGCTTATTAAAAGGTATTATTTTTTTATTGCACCTCAAAGTCAGACATATCGTGTTTGGACACGACAAGTTACTGAGAAAATGACATTACAATATTTATTTATTTTTAATTTATAACTCTAAACTTCTCATTTTCACTCGGCCTTAATGTATAAAGTCTCTTTATATACAATGTAGTGTAGAAGAGATCAGTAGCCCTAATAAAAAATACTTTTATCCATTAAAAACTGGCTGACAGGTTACTGTGCCACTTTTTTGAGAACTACCCATAGCTATGTCATATACCTATTAGAATTGGTTTGCTATAAAGTAAAAATATTTTCCCCAAAGTCAAAGTGACACTCCTCGAAACTTCTTACTATTTTAATGTTAACATAATTAATACTTCTTTCTGCAAAAAACAATTTTCCTCTGTGATTTTCTTAAATGGCAATTCTGTTATAGCATAGCCATCGTGAATCTCCTCATGTCATAGAAAATGTCATAACAAAAGTCCTAAAGAAATCAACAGTGTGATTAGAAAATTACATCAATATTAATAACAAAATGAATCAATCTACGTCAAAAAATAAACACGCTGTACGCACAAAAATGATTTTGAACAAATAATTTGATGTCGAGACGGCAACATGAAACCATATCGCCGATCAAATAAAGTTTTTATGGTCGAAGTATGATCAACATAATTTGTATTTATTTAGTTCTAAATAAAATCTTTCTCCTCGCCTTTTCTAACTAGGTCATGCTCGTTAGTTAATCTAAATGTTAACTGGAATCACCACACTATCAGTATTTTACATGTCGTGACTGCTACTTAACATCGACAACCTCCAAAGCCTACATCGTTCGCTAGATAGCAGACATGGGGTTGACGTATCCATATGGATAAAAACCCCCTAAAATAATAAAAATAAAGAGATTTAAAAAAAAAAGATAGCAGACAGATTTTTTGGGATTCTACCTATCCGTGCGCAATGAGTGGCAAAATTAGCGTATGGGTATGAGGTGTAGGTCATATACGTGTGTAATTGTATGTTTGGATAGGACCGCCCATTATACGCATATTAACTGAAATTTTTTATTACTTAGGCTACTTAAATATGTACAATAACGCATATATAAATAAATAAATATGTTCATACACGCAGCTAGCACACAGGAGAAAATTCTAGTGTGAAGCAAACTGCAGTCTTGGGCTGTTCTACTTTTTGAACTTTAAAATTTTCGATTTGAGAATCAATAATTTACTTTATGTTTCCAGCAGCTACGCTCGGCGTCGAGGCTGGGTCGTGTACGCGTGCTTGCGCGGGAGTTCGCGAGCGACGTGCAGTCCCTGTGGCGGTACGGAGCGCCGTTCCCCACGTTCCTGAAACTCATCGGCACACTGATCCTCTGTCTCCTCGTCGTGATGCCACTCATCTACCCAGTGTTCGTTGTCGTCATCTCATACTTTACATGCGAAAGCTTATTTCTGAGGTAAGGTATATTTAGCAATTACATTACATACAATATTGCATTATTAGGCAAAACCAGAAATAATCGTGCCAAAACTTATTTTTTCGTAATCTCACAACATCTCAACAAAGTTATGCTCGTCATATTATAGTTACATTCAAAATGTAGGTAATGTGATCTTCTCGTAAAAAAGCATATGCAAACTGAGCATTATGTAAAGGATTCCATTAATACTTAAAACAAAAAGAAATCTGCTTTGTACCTGAACATCAAGATAACATACTTAAGATCAACTTTCACAGCTGGTGGTTGGACCAGCCGGGGCGGTTCCTACCAATGCCGATAGCGCGCCGAACTCTCTCAGCTGGGTTCCGGCCAACCAGCCCACCAGACGTATGGAAAGTGCGTGAGGTGCTCACACGCGGCATTCTGCTCACACACTCCCTGGCCACTTCCGTCGACTACCTGTGCGTCATGCAAGGACTCCTTGATGAAGCCTAACGTAAACAAACTACCTATGAATATAGAACCTTAAACTTACATAGGTAGATAAATCAATCAGGCTCGTTTAAAGTCTGTTCATGATTCAGTAGTCAATTATATTGTATTCTCCTTTTTTTAATTGTAATCATATGCACGACTTTTATACAATGCCTTCATAAAACAACTGATAAAGTCTATCATCGGTTTTAATGGGCACTTATTTTTACACTTAATGAAAGTTGTTAAAGGGAACTATTACTTTTTATGACTAATAAATTAATTTTAAAACCTCCAGTTTTCTTCTGCTTGTAGTGATAGTATAAATTAGGGAATAGAAATAGTCACAGTGCACACTTAGAACGAAACGCAGTGTATTTTAGAAAGAAAAAACAAACGCCTTGTAGTCGTAACATACAAACTCTGACAAAGGCTATACTGCCATTGTGTTAGTAAGTAGCTTGGTGTGCAGTTGTTCTAGAGTCACAATCTTGCCGGAGCAAACATACTTATATAGTTTCACCTACAAAGCCTTAAGAAAAAGTCGTCAATATTCATAACCAAAATTATTTTATGAAATAATAATTTAAAATTGATTAGAGCAATCATGTTTATTTAATTCACAACCAACATTTAACTGTGAAGGACCTATCCTTATAAAATGTTGTCTCTTCAGTTTGTAATATCAAATCCTCAGATCAGCTGAGATAGTAGTGATTGTATTTGTTGCCAAGGAAACTCTAGCATGAAACGAGTTAATCCCTTGTCAATATACCACACCCAATGGGCTATCTTCAGAATATCGGTACTTGATTTATCTCACCGACAAAGATTCTCGGGGCACTTGACAAGCTAACTTGTGTTGGTGGGTGTCGGTTAGAGAGCAGTTCGTCGGAGGAGGTCGACGACGCGACACACGGAATAATGGCGATGCTGACTTGGACCATTATTGGGCTGCTGGCGCTGTGCCACTCGTAAGTCAACCTATTTGTACTGTTAAGTTACACCTCATGTGTTTGTTGTTTCAAAATAATTTATGTAACCATATCTTAAAGGTCAAATCACTCTCAAGGACGTGCGGAATAAATAGGTACACCTGCACATTTGTCGATGGGACGTCACACCTTTCACATATTAATCGACTGATTATTTAGTCAGCGCCAAACATCGGTACAGAAATGAATCAGGTCTACCAACCTCCTTTATGTACAGTTACCTTGCGTTCCACTTTACGTATAGTTGGAAGTTTAGCTTCTTTTTCGTCCAAAATAATTTTGCATTTTGCCCGTATCTTCGTTTATCAAATCGCAATTACTTAACTTCATTGTACTTAGTTTTGGATAACCTGTTATCGCTAATTAAAAAGGCTGGAAATATTACATTAAATTTCGCATTACGTACGTAGAGTAATGTTTGATTCATGTGTTTAACAATTATTTGACATATTAATAAACTTTTAAGCTTTGTTGTAGCCCTAAGCCTCAACTTCTCCTAGAACCTCTGTAACTAACATTTCGTTATCATTATAAATTTCCTATAGTTCATATTTTCTTGTATTTTTCTGTCTGTTTGCACAAATGTGAGGACAATTGTTTTGATACCACGTTCAAGGCCTGTTCAAGGTACAATCACGTAATGCCTATCAGCCATATGAAATAATATTTCGCATGATTTTATTATCAGTTTACTAAAATAGTCCTACTATAAGAAGGTACCTATTATATGAGGTCAATGTCTTCCACCTTTATCTATTCACATCAGTACTCACTTTATAATCAAGTACAAATGCGTAATAAGTAAGAGGAAAACTGACAATATATTTAAGGTAAACATAATTAAAATCACTATAATCTTGTAATTAACGATTATGTACCTAATACATAAGATAATATCACGCCTTTTATCCCCGAAGGGGTAGGCAGAAGTGCACATTATGCCACTGTACAATGTAACACCCACTTTTCACTATTTATGGAGTCCCATGTAATAGGGGGTGAGCCTATTGCCATATACCGGGCACAATTCCAGACTCCGTGCTACTACTGAGATGTTTTTTATAAACCCGGTAATAGTTTGCCCGACCCGGGAATCGAACCCGAGACCCTTTGCCCGGCAGTCGCACTTGCGACCACTCGGCCAACAAGGCAGTCCTCATATTATTACATAAATATTTTGTATTAATATTACTGCAAATATCTTGACATGAATGTTGGCATACTAATACTGATTATTCAGTTGTGCTCTTTTGTCTTAAATGCGTTTATTTAGTAAAATAATATTAATCTTCATTAAAAGTACCCTTAACCGACGAGCATGCATGAAAAGATTGATGACTGTTGATGAAGCGAAAGAGGTATGTAGGAATCGTAGTAATTGGCGTTCCCTAGTCACTGCCATACTCCCATGGGAGACAGGCGTGAAGTTACGTATGTATGTCTTCATTTTACCTTTTTAATTAAATACACTTTTTTTTTTTAAACGTTGCCCCACACTAGGATTTTCTCCTGTGTCGTGGGTGCGTTTACAAACATACAAGTTCACATACAAAATGACACCCAGACCGAAACAACACTTTGTGGATCACACAAAGTGTTGTCTCGTGCGGGAATCGAACCCGCGACACGTTGCACGGCAGCCAGTTGCCCAGCCACCGCACCAACCGTACAGTCGTACGCAGTACAATTGTGAATTAACTGTGTAAAATATCAAAACTTTTGAGTATTTGCGCATGCTACTATAATTGTACTATCAATGAATGTGATCTTGACAAATCCCTCACAGAACGATATCTCATCCGATGTAGTACGTAATCTCATCTCCCTGTCATTCAAACTTATTTCATTGTCGTCAGAGATCCTCAAGAGTATTTGATAAGTAACCGTCACGTAAAAAAACATATTATCTATACTATAATATTATAAAGCTGAAGAGTTTGTTTTTTTGTTTGTTGGTTTGAACGCGCTAATCTCCGAAACTACTACTGGTCCGATTTGAAAAATTGTTTCTGTGTTGGATACCCTATTTATCGAGGAAGGCTATAGGCTATAAAATATCACGCTACGATTAATAGGCGCCAAGCAGAGCAGGTGAAACCGCGTGGAAGTAGCTAGTCTATAATAAGCTTCGGACCCTCTTCCTCCCACCTAAAAGCTGACAACGCACTTATGACTCCTCTAGTGGTGCGGATGCCTATGGGCGGCGCTGATTGTTCGCTATCAAGTGATCCGTCGTCGATCTGTAGTTCTTCTATCCCATAAAATTAGAAGATCGTACTTGAGTTATTTTATTAATTCGTAGGCGGATACGGACAAACAAACAAAAGATACTTAAGATAATACATTGAAAGATTGGAGTCTTCCTAACACGTGTCAGATATTTTATAGGCATAATGAACTGATAACAAATTAATCACGAATTCTAGTCGACGACTAACTCGGTATAATAATATTATGTCGACATATTATTCAATTCCCCATAGAGGTAAAAGTATATTCTTACTATACTTAACAGTTACAGTTCAACAGTTATCCTTTTATTTATTGATCGACCATCTCTTGGTCAATGTCTAGATAAAGGAGGAACTTAGGCATAGCAAACCTCGGATACGAATCATGGGATCACATCCCAGTGCTCGAACTGTAACCAAATGTCTCACTCGCTTTTTTTTCTGATGGGTAATATCATCCAATGGCTTCTCCTGCCTTGGGTTAGACGAGAGGGAGTGTCAGACTCTTACTAAGTAAAAACCACCCCGTTCCTACTCCTGCTCTTCGAGCCGGAGCCAGGCAACCCGTTAGGCCTTTCGCGGCTCCGTATCGGGCATCAGCCCTACTGCTGGTCTGATGGCTCTTTGAGGCGCGCGGAATGCAACGCGCTGTACGCACGGGTTTAGTTCTGGTCGGGCGGCAAACTACCCTTGCTCACCGTCCGCAGACCCGCACTTAGGCGGTGTCTGACTCGTTCGTTTGATTTCAAAACAACATTTGCAGTAACCTTTACGGTAATAACATTTTTATAAGGATAATCCTTCATTAATCATGTCATATTACATCGACATAATATTTTACGTTACAGGAGCATAGCTTACACCAAATTCCCTCCTGGGTTCACGTTTGGCGTAGCGACAGCTTCCCATCAGATCGAGGGTGCTTGGAACGTCAATGGTGAGCTATATTCAATCGTTTTGACAGAGATTTTTCATACAAAAACTTCTTCGAATGATTGCATTTCCTCAAAGGAATAGATATACTTAGGTATAAAATACACGTTAGTAATCGTATATTTCATTCTTCACATTTAATTAGCGATTGATATTATTAGTCAATAGCCTACACACAAGCCAGTTGGTTTGATTATAGTAATACCTACTCATTACCGGGGCCTACATTCTGTAGGTACCTATATCACAATTAATATGAAAACCAATATCTGAAGAGTGATGTCATTTCATTACAACTTTAGAAGTCCCTAATTGTTGATTTTGACACTCTTAACTCAGGGTGATTGGATAAATAATTTACATGCGGCATAATTGCGATTTAATTGTTTTTGATTGGCAAATTAGTCATTAGATAATGGTGTCCTCGTCCGCAATGTCTAACGACTGTTACAAAAACATGTTTGTTTTTACGAACTTACGAATGAAATGATGAATAGCTAAATGATAATATTGTGCCTAAAAAAATGTTAAAATATCGTATACTATTGTAAACCTATATAATTGACCTACCCATCTAACCATAATTTTGTTATTTCTCATTTTATTTGCGTTAGCGGAGAATTTGCCTTTAATCTTAAACAGATTTTATGGGACAGTTAAGTTTTTATTGGGAGTGGGTATTCTATGTCTATGTGTATTACCTACCCTAATAGCAAATACTGTATTGAATAACTATGTATTTGTTATGCTAACAAGATAGAATTTTAACCAAGTTAATAAAACAGAAGCGATATAACAAACATAGGTAGGTACATAGGTGTTACCGTTATGATAACCCTTATCATATATGGCTACGTATGACAATCAGACAGACACTCAATCAATTACTATCTGTTTACACAAATACGAGATGAGATATTTAGGTACAAAAACTGATTATATTTGTCACTTTGGACAATCTATTTTTGGCATTGTTAGTCAAATGAGTGTTTATAATGTCATCTCGCAGGGTGGTCTTCATCGGTCTCTTAGAATCTTAGATTAATGATCGGGCCAAGGTCAAGTATATGTTCAAGGAATGATGGTCTGAGTTCTGGTCATGTGTATGACAATATAGGTACTTTAGCTTAAGCAGGCGATATAATAATTAAACTATATACTTTCACCAGAAGTCGCATGCTGGATATTGTTTTTTAAGCTTAATGTAGTAGGTTTAAGTCATCTCTGAACAATTTTCCAGGCAAATCCGAAAATGTCTGGGATCGTCTGTCTCACACGCGACCTGAGATGATCGCAGACGGTACCAACGGCGACATTGCCTGCGATTCCTACAACCGTTACCTAGAAGATGTAGAGGAGCTGGAGTATCTTGGAGTGGACTTCTATCGGTTCTCTCTATCTTGGGCTCGTCTCCTGCCCACTGGCCGCATAGATCACGTCAACCCTGATGGAATCCGTTACTACAATGATCTCCTTGACGCTTTGGCTGAGAAAAACATCGAACCTCTCGTAAGTTGATTTATCATCTTATATAAATACACACGAATAAAATTATTGTAAGCAGGTTGTATTACTTTTTCTTGCTGAATACAATATACTGGCGTTTTTCGTCATTCAAAAGAAATCTGAAGAAAAACCATAATCTTTAAAAAAGGAAAAAAACTTTAATGGCATTTACATTTTTTGGTGGCATATGACCAGTTACTTTTGTAATGTATATTACATTTTTTATAAAAATCATTGAGTTACCTATATTTACTAACCTAAACAAAACTTATGAATTATTATTATCACAGTGTTATAAATTTTATTAGGATAGTCTTTATGTTTTTATTTTATACCATAGATACTGGCTTATTTTATCTAAAAACATTGACGCAAAGCCATAAACCTAAAAAACGAAAATTAAAACTTAATGGCATCTGTAATTAATTTGGCACTATGTTTATATACTTGCTTTATCTTTATAGAACGTTTTACTAAATAGATTGTATTGTTTTCTATTATATGGTAAAAAACAAATAAGGTACCAATAAATACAAGTAAACTTTCTTTTAATTTTTGTGTAATAAAGTATTTTTATAATTTTAATAAATATTTGATTAATAATAAATTAATATTTGGAATTCTGTAACCATCAAGGCCTCCGTCATCCAGAAATAGTATCGATCCCAATAACGCTTATAATTTTCAATTAACATTTGTTAATGTTATAGGTAACCCTGTTCCACTGGGACCTGCCCCAAACTCTGCAAGACCTTGGCGGCTGGACCAACCCTAAAATGATTGACTACTTCCGTGATTACGCTGACTTGTGCTTCAAAGAGTTCGGAACCAAAATCAAGTCTTGGATTACGTTCAACGAGCCTTACGAGATCTGCGAGGATGCTTATGGTGATGAGAAGAAGGCTCCAGCTATAAACAGCCACGGTGTTGGCAACTACCTTTGCAGTGACAACCTGCTGAAGGCTCATGCCGAATCTTACCACTTATACAACGAGACCTACCGCCCAGTCCAGAACGGAAGGATCATGATTTCCATCAACTCTATCTGGTACGAGCCTAGCGACCCTTCCAACGCTGAACAAGTTGTTCTCGCTGAAGTGGCCAATCAATTCAAAGTAAGGAATTTAGTCACCAACTAGCGTTAATTTTGTTTCCAAAATTCAATACTTAATGATCGTGTTTTGGTTTGTTCATTTAGTTTGGTTGGTTCGCACACCCAATTTTCACCGTTGAGGGAGGATACCCAGCAGTGATGGTTGAAAACGTGGCTCGTCAGAGCGCAGCTGAGGGACTTTCCAAGCCGCGTCTTGAGCAGTTCGACGACTACTGGATTCAGAGAATCAAGGGCACATCAGACTTCCTTGGTATCAACCACTACACCACATGGTTGGTCACCGGAGCTGGAGTCGACCCCACTGCTAAGTCACCGTCTTGGTTGAAAGACATCGGTGCAGTAGCTACCATGGAAGTTGGTGGTGACTCTGCTTCAGAGTGGCTTAGAGTAAGTACTGGCATCAATTCTTATCAGTAGTCTTTAAATAGTGTTTACAATCTAATAGGTGTATTATAATACTTACTTGTGGATTACTTACCCAATTTAGTATCTCTAAATAAACTTTTCCGTGTTACCAGGTAGTACCAACTGGCTTCGCTAACCTGCTTCGTTGGTGCAAGAGCTCATACAACGACCCACCGATTTACATCACAGAGAACGGTTTCTCAGACTTGGGTACCTTGCTGGATTACGACCGTATCAAGTATTACAATGTAAGTAAAACTAAAAATGTCCAAAGAATTGCCTATAAGAAGCGGATCTATTATCTTATATTTCATATATTATAATCATGCTAGTGTCGACAATTTTGAAATGGGCAATAATATTTTAAGACCCAAGACGCATTTTTTTCCTCTGTGACCTCTTGACAGTCGAGATAGACAATTACCTAAGAGTATAAATAAAATTACTATGATTTTCCACAGGATTACTTGAGCGAGATCCTGAACGTGATTTACGATGACGGCGTCAATGTCCTCGGCTACACCGCCTGGACTCTCATGGACAACTTTGAATGGAGGGCTGGATTCTCGTGAGTACTCCTATATATTATTATGTACAATGTGTATAAAACAATTAACTAACATAAGATAACATCACGGCTTTTTATCCCCGAAGGAGTAGACAGAGGTGCACATTTCCTACGGCACTTAATGCCACTGTCCAATGTAACACCCACTTTTCACTATTTATGTTATAAATCCCAAGTAATAGGGGGTAAGCCTATTATCATATACCGGGCACATTTTCAGACTCCGTGCTACTACTGAGATTTTTAAAAACCCTGTAATACTTTGCCCGACCCGGGAATCGAACCCGAGACCTCTTGCCCAGCGATCGCACTTGCGACCACTCGGCCAATGAGGCAGTCAAAGAACTAAGTATTAAAACTAAATATACTTATTCACCATTCATAAACTAAAATTGATTCAACTTAGAAGCCTCTATAGCTGTTGTTCCCAAAGTTGTCTGTACTATGACCTACTTAAATCAAGTTCCCAAACTCAGGGGCTTCAGGGAATTAAACCATTACCAATATAAAACACATAATACAGAACGGTTGCTTAGTGCGTCATCCTACAGACGAGGCCCACTAAAAATTCGCTTGCGAATACCCATACCCATAGTTTGGGAAACCCTGCTCTAGAGTATTTAGACCATATAACTAGTTAGATCATATTATTGTCACAATGAACTACAATTTCAATTTTCAGCGAGCGTTTCGGATTTTACTATGTAAACATTACTGACCCTGAGCGCCCACGCACTAAGAAACTCTCAGCCGATTACTACCGCGATCTGATCGCTAACCGAGAGCTACCTCAGGACAAACGCTACAAGGTATTTAACCCGTCGTGTGTCTAAACGTGGGTCCACGAGACACAATGTATTTTATATTGTGACTCATACCGCATTCAAGTGGTTAAGTCAAAATATTAATATTATCAGTGTTTTTAAATTAATTTAGAACATTAACCAGTTCTGAATAAAATTAAATAATTGTTGATACTTCTTAGAATTTAAGACAAGTATGAGTTATTATTAAAAAACTAATGTATAAACTGTAATTACTGTTTTTCTAGTTATCTGGTGTTTGGTTTTCTCTTCCTAACTGTATACCTGTTTCATTAAATATGTTTTAGACACTATCGCCTACTACTAAACTGAGTAAGTACCTGTTTTCTTGTTTCCTTAATCTTCAACCCTTTGTGCATATAGTATCTTCCTTATTAACCACTAGTACAATGGTCTTACTAAATTTACTCTTTGACAGATATCACAAAAGTGAAGGCGGTGACGGTCCAGCATGGTAAAGCCTAGTACCTATTGTATATAATAATATTTATTACAAAAAGCATGTTTGCATCGCTTGTTACTGTTAAAAAAATAAATTATTTAAACCATATTCTCAGACTTTCCTTTTTTCAACAGATTACGACAACACCAAGAAGTGAGTTGTAATATATCGTCGTTTAAGTTCTACACATGGGAAGTGAAATATGTAATAGGTATTAAAACAAATATTTATTTAATTCATATAAGAATATCGAATTATTTACAATGAAATTATAGTAAATTAATAACGTTGACACGTAATTTCATTGTTATAACATTGATACACGTAGTTACATACACTACATAGAAAACTTGCATCTGTCGTCAGACTGAAAAGATATGTTTTTCATAAAGGCTATAACTTAGAAATAATTGATTACAGTTTACTTGAGATATTGTTCTGAATATTATTCTGTAGCAAGTGGCAGGCCTCGTGCGAGGCGAGGCTACAGTTCGAGTACAGTACAGTACGTACAGTAACAGTAACAGTACAACTTGGAATGTTTGTCGACGTGTCGTGACACTAGGAACGACTTACTGGATCACTTGTTCGACCGCTGGTCACTTCTATCCGACCTCGCGGTGCTACGGGGAGGGCGAGTTGAGAATAATGAACCGAACAATATGAGAAGCATCCAAACTTACGGACTCTTACAATTAATACACGACAAATACAAATATAAAGTATACAACAAATGGATCTACAGAATACAAAATTAAATGTATCATCAACCCAGCACCGTTACGTCTAATTACAATAGTTACACAGATGCTATTATTGCTATGCGACATAACTGAAGATTACATTAAAGTCTTATAAGAATAATAGTACTTTTACTAATATGGCAAAGTTTTCAATGTAGCATTTGATATTAAAGGCCTAATTCCATTATCATATTAATCAATCAAGCTAGCTGAATTCAATACACTCATACAAAAAATTCTAAAGACTAGGTGGGCTTACAAAATTTTGAAACATTTGAATAATTGATAGAAACATGAACGATGATTTAATGAATTGATTACTAACAATAATGAAGTAATACTAATTACATAACAATAGTTATAGAAAATAGATTTTATACTTTGTTGGCACCAATCGCAGTCTGCTTCGTAGCAGGTAGCAATGTTATTTCAATATATCCGTCACATCGGACTATAACTATCTTCTGAGTAAGGCACTTAGAGATGAATTTCTAGCTCCAATTATTCCCTAAAATTAGCTAGCTAGCTGCACCCATACACTTGAATATTGCTTATGTAGTCACATTGTTCACTTAGAACCCAACTAATATAAGTAAACATAATAGTTGCCAACATATTACCTACTTCATGATTAACTATTAAAACTTAACGTCTATTCATAATCTCGAAAATTCACAAGGACGGTGTAAGTTGACAAACAACGTTCTACAAGTACATAAGTAGTTTATTTTCTGTCACATCACTATTACATCAATAGCTCGTCAATAGAAAAATTGTAAAAATATCTCAACATTATCTAAATTATTACAACAATAAATAATTTTATCAAGGCACAATAAGGCACTGTTCATTACATCAAGATGTTATCACAATCTTAATTTTAAAATATATCATAAAATATTGTTTGCTTGTCGATTTATAGAATACGATTTCCGATAGTCTCTATGAAAAGAATATGGAAACTTAGTTCACGAATGATTGCGTTGCAACGCAACTACTTTCTGCTACGAAAGAAGGCTTGCAGCCACCGCGCGGCGAGACGTCGCCGGCACGCGTCACAGTGCTGTCAGCACCTCGCACTAACCTCATGACTAGCCATTCGTGATAGTCTTGCTCTACTGATCCGCGATACTTGGCTTACTTTTCGTAGCTCATCTCTTACTTCAACAGGTTGAAACATTTTACAATCGGAGCAGCATTACGTTATTGTCTTGCTCACATCATAAGACAAAAAGATTTTATTATTTTCTTACGTCACTCCAGCATTATTTTCTAACTATGGGTGTATAGATACTAATTTACAATACTTAAGAGGCCAAGTCAAGAATTACGATGAGTATGTGTTGTAATGTCAGTCATACAAAATTCCACACATTTACATATCAACCACAACAAAGTAGAAACATTTAACTCACACAATTTCGTATTCCTATCTCTTTCGAATAAATGCAGAGACAGAGATAAAACCAATTCTGCATAAAAGCGAGCAGATATAATAGGGAATAGTGAAACCGGTGCGGAAATGTGTTGAAATAACATTTGAACTGAAAAATAACGTTGTTGGCTATAAATACCACCAAATGCGTAAGTCCGCACCGGTCCAACTGTTCTCATGGAAGCCATCGTACTGGTATTGAAGTATCTATCTATACTAAGTCATAAGCACACAAAATCCCACGTCAGTCATTACACATGTTATGCTATAATTGTCATTTTCAAAGTGAAATTTACACCATCGTTACCGTGTTGTCCCCGACACTGTTATAGCGGTCGACGTCATACAAGCGGTAAGTACGCTACATTAAACATATAATACCTAATTTGAAAGTTTGTAAGCATGGTCTGCGCGGGCGCGCGGCCCCTACAGCCACGTCAGTACGTTGTCGGGCTTGCTCGGCGTCGAGTTTATCAGCGATTGCACATCGTCCAGGAGTATGTCGTTAGTGAACTCGTTCAACTGAAACAGCCGTATTTAACACGTTATTACAATCTTTTAGGATTCATCACCATATTAGTCACAAGATGTCCACTAATGGACAATGAATACAAGCATCTAACTAGATCTACCAATCATTTGGTATTAAATTTTTAAACCTGACCATTTTTAGCTATCTGTTCCAATGAAGTACGCCGCAGACAAAGGACTTCTTCGTAGACAAAAGTTAAGTCGTAGACAAGACTACGCCGTAGATAAAGGACTACGCCGTAGACAAAGGACTACGCCGACTACGCCGTAGGGATTCCGAGGTCTGAACTACGCTGGCTATGCCGCGGCATGCCGTAGGTGATAATGTGATAAAATTAAGACAATTTAATAACTTACTTGCAAAGAAGGAACCAAGTCGTCAGTAGAGTCGAGGTTGTCGGCTAGCGTAATGTCGGTGGAGTCTAGGTTGGCGCCGGCCTCGCTAGTGCAGTCCATACGGTCGTCCATGCCAGAGAGGAAACCTTCTGGCGTATGTGGCATCGAGTAGGAGTGGGGAACACCCATCCCTAGGCCGCTGTCAGCTGACTCCTGCCGCTGGTGATCTGAGAGTCCTGACAGGAAGGGATCCAGCGGCAAGTCCGTACTGGTAACACCCGTACTGTTCGCCAGTGACGACACGATTGACGACGACTGCCTTGCCATTATTAGCTCTTGCTGAAATACCAAATTAGATACTTTATTAATCTGACTAAATTGTGTGATAATAATTATCTTCCAGCGGAGGGGCACTTAGTTTTTCGAACTTGTAAATGACTAAGGTCACACGTTTCTACCTGTTCCGTATGCATCCGGAAGTCTTTACATCAAGGAAATGGAATCAGCAGACGTATGCTAATGAGAGCATTATACCCCACAAAAAAACATCATGGTAAACAAGTTCTCAATCCACTAACATTCACAGAGTAAAAAAATTAATTCCTGTTTTAATTGTATTCAAAACAAAGGTCCCACAATAGCTAAAATATCGTAATCACAAATACCATGACTGTAATTAATCAAACGCTTGTTACCTGGAGTCTGATCTCCTGCTGGCGCTGCTTTAGGCGCTCTCTCTCGAGCTGCAGCGACTGCAGCCGCAGCTTCTGCTGACACGCTTGCAGCGAGGTGTTGGCCCAGCCGCCGTCCGGTACCGCCCCGCCCGCAGCCGGCGTGCGCTGTAAGTGTTGTGCTGGAAACAGAAACGGTCACCCCGTCAGTAATCACATAATCTTGCCATTTACATCGGAATCAAAACCTGTCTTCGTGACAAAGTTTATTATTGTAGCATATGCCTTTGTGACATTCACTGTACATGTTGTATACTTACGTATCCTTGGATCGAACCAGGATGTGGTGCGAGCTGCATGATTTATAAAGTAGATTTCTCCTTCCGCCGTCGCGGCCTGCTCCCAACCCTCCGGCAGGGGCCCTAGTGGATCCGTCGTTGTGTTACTACTTGTACTCTTCGCTGCTGAAAACAATCAAACGTACGTAATCAGTACCTTTGAAACGTTACACTTGTCATTTGTAGGAAAACAACTAATGATTCTCTCAACAGCGACTAGTTGCAAGCCAGCACATTATGAACTAAGACGTACGCACACGTGATTGAGAATCAGGTGGACAACGGGAAGGTCGATGTGAGCTCGTTCCAAGAAACGGCGGCGCCAGACGAGCGCGAGCTGGCGAGCGTTTGGCACTCGTTTCCAAAAATGAATCACGGCGCACGCGCGGTACCGCGGTGCCGCGGACAAGTCACACGCACGCGCTCTCACGCTTTGTGTACGCGCACCGCGCAGCGCAACAAACAGCCAATCATTCATAAACAATTCACAGATATATAGCCGGCTAATTGATCGCCAATATCATGCTTATTAACGTTGCTCTGTTCTAATTGTGTGACTATATCTAAGTATTACGTAGCTCATATTGCTTTTCCTAGTCACTAATCTAGTTAAAATTTAGATGATTAATTTATCTAATTAACTGACTTTGATCGTCTATTTGGTTTATTTATATAATTAAGATTATCTACGTATTGTACTGTACTGTAAGTTTTAAAGAAATGATTTGAAAATATAATGTGATTATTTTGTGATTAATCTAGAAACATACGTTATGAACTATTTACATAATAAGTGCAAGCCCGAGCAGACTCTTGCGACCACGCCGGTAAAAACAATGCAGTTTATCAAAATTGCAATCTAGATAATTTCTTTATTAACTGTGGTGCCTTTGTGCGGCCCGTGCAGTGTAATTACCTACACATTATTTACAATCATCATTACTCAACAGTCGACACCAGCGCACAGCGGCTCTGCGACTAACCGCGATGTTACGTTAGCATTACGTTATGCCCGCCTCTACCGCTGTTTTGTTGCTGGTAAGTACTTTTTACCCGACTGCCAAAGAAGGAGGGTAATGTTTTTCGAGTGTATGTAAGTATGTATGTATGTCTTTTCCTTTGTGACCACCTGTAGCCTAAACGGCTTGATGGATTTTGATGTATGAGGTATCGTTAGATTTGTCTTGATTACGGGAGTGTCATAGGATACATTTTATCCTAAAAGTCCCACGGGATAAAGACATAATAATATTTTTTCTAAATTTCCCTTTAAAAAAATATGTATGCGGTATCATTAGATTCATTTCAATCACGGGAGTAATTAATATAGGATACGTTTTTTCTCAAAATTCCCACGGGAACATGTTAATTCTGCGTCAACGCAAAGCAACTCATGCGTTAGCAAGCAAAAAGATAGGGCGTGGCCTGGCATGCGGCGCGCGGCGCGGTGCGGAGGGGGATATGCTCGAGTATACAGCCCGATTGCGGGCACACGCATGAGGGCACACGTCGTTGACGGTCGTCTCTAAATAGCGATTTTATTCGATATATCCCTATTTGTATATATCGAAATAAAAACAGCTAAAAAGTTATAAATAAAAAAATTATTATTAAAAAAACAAAATACCCGACTGCACACTAAAAAAAGAGTAAAACAAGCCCCACAATAATATTGATCAATCAAATGCTAAAAACTAATTATGTAATACCGTTTAAACAATACCTATATTAAAATACACTACAATATGTGTTCGTAATCGATAGTTAAATAAACAGAAACTTATTTTGAATACAAATTTACTGAATATAATTTATAAATGTTGATGGAATGCATCGCAGGCGGGGACCAACAGAGGCTTATTTATAGTCATTTCGGTTGTGCACCATTTAGCAGAATTTTCGTTGGTGGCGGTCAAGGTGGTCCCCGCCTGCGATGCTTTCCATCAACATTTATAAATTATATTCAGTAAATTTGTATTCAAAATAAGTTTCTGTTTATTTAACTATCGATTACGAACACATATTGTAGTGTATTTTAATATAGGTATTGTTTAAACGGTATTACATAATTAGTTTTTAGCATTTGATTGATCAATATTATTGTGGGGCTTGTTTTACTCTTTTTTTAGTGTGCAGTCGGGTATTTTGTTTTTTTAATAATAATTTTTTTATTTTACCCACTTTGATTTAACTACAAAACAGAATCAACAATATTGCTACTCGAAGATAGACAAGAATAAATGCGGTCAGCTACAAAGTTAGATTACGTTGACAAAGCTAACAATCCCAACATTTTGATAGATGGTTTGAAAACAAGTTCTTGTGACAAGAGATGCGTTATACGAAAGATATTTCAGTCGTACGAGTTGTAGTATGTTATCGCGATATAAGATTAGGGAGGAACGCGCTGTGGAAACAGAATTATTTGTATTGTCACCTGATCTACATAGGTAGATGTTTGTAGTGTGGCGAAGATAAAGCAAGATGTAATAGTGTCACTTGCTGTGTAAAGCGGCGCCCGGCCCGCCGAGGTGGCGCTGCCGCAGCTCCTCTGAACGTGATCTGATACGTGAATAAGTCACGTACATACACAACTATCATAACTTTAAAAAAATGAACTCATAAAGGTAAACACGTGCGTCGTGCTCATGCTGTCAGGGAGTAAGTGAATTAAATGTCTATGAGGTAAAAGCGAAGTCGGCTGTATATTTTAGTCTAGTGAGACAAAGAGGTGTTTTAGTTGGTTGTGGTGTAGTAGTCTGCGTATAGAGTAAGGCGGATATGTCGCAAGGCGCTGAAAGGCGCGGGCGCCATGGCCGACGCCGAACGACCGACACGGCGAGTTGCGCGGGCGCCGGGACACCGATGTATTTTCCGAACACCTTTCAACGCTCGTCTCGCATCGACCGACGGAAACAACGCGTTAATTCCCGTCATAAAATCAGTTTTAGAATTCGGGTTATTTACTTGTTTTTATTTTAGTTCCATGATAATTTTAAACTTGCCACTGTGGCCAATTGGATCACGTGAAAACTGGATCCAAAGCAAAAGACAATTAAACTCAGTAACCCTCAAACGTAAACAGGTAACATGCCTAGTGCAATCTAATTAAATAATGAAACAACAACATACAACAAGTGAAATAGTAGCTTTATTTTACTTGTTGTATTGTACACAGCGCAGATACTAAGTTATTAGCTACAACTATTTGGGTACGATTTTAGGATTATTTTTCTAAATTGGTACTAAAATTCGAGAAAAGTGCAGAAACAAAGTATTACATAGATACTAATTATAACATTAAAATACATCTTTGTATACTAATCAATTAATGAAATTGTATTCACGTTATATTTAAAAACAGTTTATATTAATACAATTAATGGCTATTAATTGAAAATGCAGTTAGTTTCAGATTTACGCCATGACACGTAATAGCAACTGTTATTATCCTTATACATATCAGTATTTTGTTAATATGTTTTATATTATGGAAATACCATGGACGTCATTGACTGCTAAGGAATGATATGGGTACCTACAATCATGAGGCTATTCTAGTGCTTATTTAGGTACTGTACGGTAATGTACCTTATTAATTAGATAAACTACCAGCTAGTCATTAATTAAACTGTCGACTGGAGTTTATTTAATTCACAGGAAATTGGCTGTGAATAAAATTTATATTTTCCTCATCAATGGATGGATTTTTTCTACAAAGTAGGTTATATTTGAAACGGTAGATGAGGAAACTTTTATAGACCAAATGATGTGTTGGCATATTTTAACCTTATCGATCCTCACGAATTTTTTTGGATAACTTTTGCACTATTTACAATTAATGACTCAACAATATGGGAACAGTCCCAGGTATAGATCTATATCTTTAACTATTTGATTGTAGATTCACTTAAGATAATCTGCAATATCGTCATTTCCTTTTCTTATACCACTTTTATCTCACCTACACAGTCTTAGAGCCAGAGCGGTGACCATTGAATTAGTCATCAAAACTTTAGTATTTAGGATCGGATTTTAATCTACATTTTTTTACATTTTGTGATTTATGGACTGCTAAAAGTATTGAAGGTTTCGTTACTTTGTTATGAATCAATCCGCTTGGTGTAAGATGACAAGATACATAAATATTTGCAATATGTTTTGAATGAGATAGGTGATAAGTAAAAGGATGAGATAGGTGCTAAGATTCGCCTATTAAAATAAGATTTTCCTCATAACTTCGCATGACTAGTTTAACCAGTTTTAAGCATATTTGTAATTAAATTTCTATATTTGTTTATACTTAGCCAAAGTCCGATGTTAAATGTTTGTAAATAAACCATTTAAGGGTAAAACTACGTCTTGTAAACCATCCAACGCGAGTGGTTACACTCCTGCCTTCTTTCTCACACTGAAATGACAAGATTCTGAGCTAAAGCAAAATAAAAAAGTGCGATTTAGTGCACCGAGATAGCATTTTAGTTTGGTTTACGAACATTACCATTTATTTCTAGACCTCAGTACCTCAGTACCGGTAACCGCCACGGAACGGAGGATTTACCTTCAATAGATTTCGTCGGCAGTCAAATGCAGTATTCTGCATTACAAATTAGTATTTTTTTTTTGTATTTCCCGAGTTGCTAGTAATCATATATGTACCTAAGAAGTGTCTAATATAATAGCCTTCTTATTAGTCGTTAGTAGTTATATAACTAAAAGTTGGCATTATTTAGTTCATACAATCCGAATTTAAAGATGTTCTAAGACATGTTAGTATTTTGGAAATGTAAATAGATAAGAACCTGGTGCAGGTGTGTTGGGTATGTTTTGCGGTGTGGCAGCCTGTGTGAGCAGCGCGTCTGTGCTCTGATGCTGCACACTGCCAGCCACCGACTGCGCCGCAAGGGTCTTCCGAGGGTCATCCCATGTCGTCGTCTTCGTTATGTGACTGAAAGCAAAAAGAAAATGACGTTAATACCGATATTCCAAGAAGGTATCTTTATAGAAAAGATACTTTATAACACCAAACACACGTAACAAAAATAACATTGCATGAAACAATACAAATAAATTGTAATAGAAACGTATTTTCCGAACACATTACTAGTGAATAGTAAAGTGTTCATTATAAACCCGTTAGCAACATTGGCATCGTGTGAGCCAAATCTTCCCACTTAGCGGTCGATGTGACCAATTTGTAGACAAAACCGGACACGGAGTGTGCGAGTGCGACCCAGTGAATAGCCACCGCAATGATGAACGACTCTTTTACTTTCTTTACACTGAAAGTAGGCACTATCACATTCGTAGTTGCGTCTGCAATCATATTCTGACAGCTATGTTTTGACGAGGCCCGCCACTATCACTTCGGAATTAGTTTTATGATCATAAGCCAGATGTTTAAAATACCAGGTACTTGAAATCTTATTCTTTCAAGATAAAATGTAGTGCCTACATTGGAAAGCGGATGGGGGCATTACCACTACAAATCGATTTGCACGGAACGGTAATGAACTTGGGCGCGCTATCAGCTGTTAGCGATGTCACGCCGAGCACCTGTACGTGGCACGGCGCGGCCGCACCTGCATCGTTACCTATCAACTGCATTTAATTCCTCATTACTTCCAAACTAGACATAACCTTTAGCCAGATAGTCAGCTGGACTCTGAGAGCCAGTCCGACTGGCTGCACACACACTGTGCTCAGTCATATGCATACAATTATGATGTATTCACTTGGAAACTAGTGAAGGATTGGATTGTTTACCCTCCAGAGTGCACCTTATTTGATACTAACAAGCACTGTATTCGTCATTCATCGCTAGTAATAAATTCTTTAGCTATCTCCGCAGTTAGCTATCTATCAATAAGCAGGATAATATGTGGTATATAAGAACTACCACAAGTAGATAATGTACAGAGTTCGTTCTGTTATAGAAATAGCTGCAATAATTGTTGTCACAGTTTACCTGACAAGCGATTACGTAAGTCATGGTTTATTTTACTTCAATGGGTTATATTATATGAGTTTCTATACTATTACTATGCCTAGTTAATTAGATAAAGATGAAGCCATTGTTTTCAATCTACTCGTGTAAGAATATTTTAATATGGATATAAATATCAACATTTTATAGGTATCTCAGATATACGTGCATTATAGAAATGACCAACGATGTCTTGATATTACATACCTATATGTATCAAATACGGAAATCCATCCAGAGATTTCAGATTACACTCAGTTTTTATTTTCGGCCTTACTCCTGACAGAAAACAACTGACTAACATTTAAACCATATTTATATGTAACAATGGCAAAATAGGTTATCAGCAATATGAACGAAATGTGTGATGTAGGCACATCACGCCACTTCAGGTGAACATCGCCGCGGGTGACGGGGTGTGCGGGCGAGTGTGTAATTACAGTGGAGCCTGCGCCTGGCTGGGCGGGGGGGGGGGGGGGGATGGCTCGAGTTGCATAACACTGACCAAACTGTTGTATCCAACATGCGACTCGCCACATCGTGTTTGTTTGTACACATTCACATTATTTTGCCCACGATCTGCAAAGGCAACACGTAATCGATCGTTCTCAGAACACAGATGACTGGATTTGGCAACGTGAATGGTAAACCTTTAGTTCGTCATCTTTATACGTTACTTATAGGAAAAGTTACCAAAATATCAAAATTATAAGATATAAATAGATCATAAAACATTTCCATATTTTATACAATTTAACTTAACATTTAATACAACTATCCACACTCGAAATCATTTCATACATAATGAAAAAAGCAAAACTGAAATGAGAAAGTGTTTTACGTTTCGACTGCGTCGTCTGCGCAGATAAAATTATGAATCAGTCAAGAGAAAGTATAACCTGTGCTGAACCGTTATGTCACCGTTATAAACGTTATCAGCATCATCATCCCTCACTCCGCAGCCATACTGCGAACACTTCGGTTAATGTGTTCGCTTATCTAATCTGTTACTGCAGGTAAACTATTATTTTAATGCTAACATCGATTATCATTCCGATAAACGTGACCCAATGTAATTAAAGACGAACAATTTACTATATAACGCAAGCAATCAACACGGCCGCGACATGAGCTCTAAGTCTCGCCAAATTACAATTAAAATACATAATAGTTACTAGACAACAATTGCCATATGACAAGGAGCATTAAGAAATAGCCACCATTTCTCTCGAGCGAAGGCCTTCCACTGTTGCACAATGCACTCGGTGTTGGTGTCTACGCGGCTGATGTCTGTCGGCCTACTGTCCAAATCGAATGTTATCGTGATGGTAATACCAAGCTAAAGTAGGCTACTTTAACCAGTCCTTAACTAGGCACATAAAACCACTTGCATAGTCAAGTTTTCAACAGTCCTATAGATTGCAATCACAGCACAAGTTATACCAAATCTTGAACAATAAGTATGTTAACCAGTTCGGAAAGGTATTTCAGGAGGATGTTCTACTTTGACAGTATAACTAATTAGGACTACGGAGCTTATTGTAGAAAATTTAAAATTATTTAGCCACTCAAAACTGCATTATTTCGAAAACAAAGTATGTATCGTAAACAGATTCGCGAGCAATATGACGAATTCGGTGAAATGCCTCGTGTTTCAATTAAACGGAAAATAAAGTTGGCATCGCGTCCGTCGACGTAACATAAACATTAAAATAACTATGATGGTTGAGTAGCAGCTCGCAAAATCTCATTCAGATGCCAATACATTATAGTATCTATGTACACATGCCGAATCATACCAGAGGCTACACGGTGATTACAAAATGTTTTCACTTTTTGTCATCAAGTAGGTGTAATGGACTTTAGATCAAATTAGTCTATGAAGAATAATACACCATAACAGTTGTAGGCGTGATGTGCTTCGATGTTTACCAGCTGGTAATTTATGATGAATCAGCACAAAATGCTAATAATAATTATTCTTCGGTAAAAACAAATTTTCCGGTACCTACTACCATATCAGTTCCCAGTAGCTTAGCAATATAACACTCGTGGGGTAAACACAAATAGGCGCCTAACTATATTAGTATACCTAATATCAATATATTATGTTCACATTAGAAATACTTACATACTTTTAAAGGTCTACCTACAATGTTTATAAATGAATACTATGTAATTATTTCCATTATTATTGTTCAAAACGGCAATATAATGGAATAAAATCACGGGATGACGTCATCCACGTAATTATAGCCCGCATCAGTTACAATTGAAACCACTTAAATCTAGACGTGTTGTTACGATCGGAATACTGAATCTGAGAGCAGCATCAGTGAGTGCTGAAGATGAGTGCGAGTGTGCGTGTTGCGGCCGTGCGAGTGTAAGACGCCGCCACCGCTCTGGTTGCACCGGATGCGCGTCATATCGGACGTACATCCTCGTCTGGTGCGCAATTTTCCCACTTCTCCACTGCACACAACACTACACAATAGACGCCACGATATACAACAACACGAGCCACAAGCCGAGTAACCTCGAAACGAATCAACTTTATTTATTCCTGGATTGATTACATAATCAAGTTCATGTGCGGTTACACTATGTAATATAGAGCGACGTCGATCTTCTACATAAGCGTTCACTGATTTTCTTACAACCCGGCGTTACCCACAGTTATCCGATTAAACAACATTTACGTATTCCTACGTAAACTAATACGTCGAAGGTCACAGCATACGCTAATTAACTACATAATGACTTCGGTGTAAATTTTATGAAACTCGATGAGGAGGCATTGTCATCGTAATAGAGACCAGCTTTTGTGATTTATAGTTTTGTTTGTAAAGGATGTACGGTAATCAATGTTAAGCACTTATTTTATAGCGAACTGTTACTGGAAAGGTCTGGTATCTTTATGATCAGGAAACTTAAGTAGACAAGTTCTAGCTTTACCAGCACTATCTCCAATCTGAACTCGCAACAGTTTCAAAACTTTGTACAAATACTCGCATCTGTTTACAAACTCATTTAAAACCTGCTAAACAGAATTTAACGGGTCTTTCACTGTTACAAATGTTAAGGTCAAAAACCAAATAAGGTATCATCATGAAGAGGGGGTAATAGAAGCATAACACAATGTTTGCAACGCAACCAGGAAGCCGCACATAGCGAGTCAAATTCATTTTTGAAACAAGGCTATGACAATTTGAATAATTATAATACATACATATTACGCACTTTTTGTACTTAGGAAAACCATATGTCGAGTGAATGAAGCTATTAACTTACAGCGTAGAAGAAAGTATTGCCGTTGACTAAGTGAACTATGAATAAATAAATATATGAGAGCTATCCTTCTCTTTCAAATTGAGAAAACAGTTGAAGTGCAACAATCAGCGCCTCATGTGGAAATCGTGGAATATCGACACAATATTGACATGCAAATGGTTTCTTTGTAGTGGTAATGCAATAGATGGTAGCATAAACAGTAGGTACTTATGTCTGTGTAGTTGTGTACCGTTAACTGAAGTGTGTCGTTTCGTCAACAAGGCGACTGTTGGCAAACATTGTTCTAACTTCAGTGATCAGTATAAATGTAAATAAAACTGAGGCATTAATTTGAATATTGTTGTTGTCTCCAGCCAGACACGTGCGTTATGCAACGAACTCAATCTCACTACTATATAATAGTGTTTGTTCAATATGGTTGCTAAGTAGTAGGTGCCAACCCAGTAGGTACCAACCGCATAATAGGTAGGTATCTAATAGCAAATAATGCCTGAATACCTATAATTATTAGTTAATTTAGTTAATTTACGGATATTCCCTCATTTATTTGCAAATATTGTCCCAAAAATATTTATACAACATACGGATACCTAAACATCATATTATTCTCTCTGAATTCATGGAATGTCGTTTTTCTTATCGTAGTTTTATCTTGAATTGAAACAATCTTATACATCTTAAGTAGAACCGGCAGTTTGATACAATTAATGGTGCCTTGATAAACACGGACAAAGGGACATAGCGTTTGTTATGTTCTCTAACAGATCGAATTCGCAACAATCTGGCAAATAACTGAACCAAACCAATCCTGAGCGTGACTCATTCATTCACATGAAAACACTTACGTTTTACTAACCAACAACATTTATTTACGTTAACTGAATTTTCAGACGGCCTCATGATAACGAAACTGTAGACAGCTAATACTTTTCCCCTTACGTCAGTAAAGATCTTAGGCACATTTTCGACTTCATTGATATCATGGTGTACCTATTCCGCAACCACACGAAGTTAATGGCTAGAATATATCGTATTAATCGAAAGTGACTATTTTCAGAGTTATTTTGAAATACCAAAAAGGATTATCTACGATATCTTGCGACAGATCCACAACTTCCAAACGATGGATCGTAGGTTTTTCACTGAGAACAACATGGCGGAGACGGGATTCTAAATTTGAATCTCGGACGAGTCGGCGCTCGCGTACGTAAATAAACGCACACACGAATAATCAGTAACACTATACAAGCGTTAGAGCAACGTGTAACCACTACATCGCACAAATGAACATGACTACATAACAGTTAATTTAGAATTACTTTGGTTTTGAAAGCGAGTCTAGGATTGTTTACTTGATAGTCCTAAAGTCAGTTGTCTATTCGCAAACGCTTGACAATGAGTAGCGACAACATCCCAGTGTCTACGCCGCACTGACCGCACTACCTACACTGTACAGCGCACATCACACATGATACTCACACTAACAGAAGTGGACGAAAACGCACTAGTGACGCATCGACTTCCGGCCGATGATTTTATTATGGGATCTACTGTTCCAGCCAAAACGTATTTAACGTATTTTCCTTTGGCGATCCAATGAATTATTACAATCTCATTGCAATTTTCTTTGAACTTTTATTTTTAATGACACTAATCTCATTTCTGCGAAGTTTGTTTTCAGAATTTGTTTGTCAAATATTCTGATGTTAAGACTAGATATCTCAACGCTGCTGCTCTATACCCCACAAATCCAGAGCTTCATTGGTACTGTTAGTAGGTAATCTTTAGCAGACTGTTTAATACAAATATATGTTCACAAATCACTCGTCTTATAAAACTAATTGTAAAATAATAAATAATCATTTTCACTAATTGTCTTATCTAATGATCTATAACACAATGTGTCGTCGTGTCAAATATAGCGAGACAATATCTAATACTTTTTTATGAGGTACCTAATAACAACGTTGTTTGAGAAAAGTCCAATTTTGAATTAACAAAATTATATTTAATTAAGTGCCTATTTAGAATAGAATTCATAAATTGAAGTCCTAATTTGTAGCCATTGTCTTTGTTACACTTTTGGTCACGTAGCCGCAGTCACGTAGCAAAATCAGGCGGAATTAGAGATCGGCGCGAGATTTATTTATCCACACAATAAATGGGTTTAGGCGTTTATGTACTAATAGACATGTGTCTGTGGATACGCAGTATACGCGCTCACGCACGGAGTGCGGCGCGGGCGGCGCGCGGCGGGCGGCGGGCGCAAGCTGGGCGCGGCGGCAACCGGACCAGTCGGCCTTGCCGCGCGGTGGACTGCCTCTCGCTGCCAGAGGTTAACAACGTGTTTTTTCATCTAGCTTTAGAAAGTAAAGAGATAATATTATAACGTTCGCCTTATCTGAGAATACTGTGAACAAAAATTGATTTGTCATTCTATTAAGTGTGCCCACGCGCAATAATTATAAAGATGTTTTCGGCATACGCGCCGATCTCAAAGTTATCTCAGTAAACAGGTCAATATAAAGTGAATTGAAGTAAAGTTAGTCACTGATGAATCAAACGTTTGTTTTCTTTGATGTATATTTTAATCTAAAACATGTAAACAGGAGAACCGAGAGACTTCGTTATATTCGTGTGTAGAACAAGGACACTACTCTACGTCGTGACCTGACTCCGAGGCGACCTGAGTCAGTTAGTTAGGGGCCGCTGTTGAGAGAGCATCCGGGTCGACGATATTTGCTTTATTTCCGAATCTTTTAAACATCAACCATTCCTAGAAACGTCATAAGTCCCATCATTCATCCACTAATTAATACAACTAGCTAATAAGTAGTCAATAATACTCGACCGTTGAATACGTACATCGACACGACACATCGATACATCGACTCTCATTGTACTTTTTAATCTGACTAGCCTAGGACATTTTAGAACAAAATTCGAGAGATCGTGCAGAAACATTATATACTGTGATTTTTATTCGTCTTACAAAAGCAACAAGCATGCATGTATGTATCTGTATAGTTAAATAAATTGACCAAATTTTACCGGGCAGACAATACTAAAACATAACTTCAAAAACGAAATAATTTCTTTTGTTCTTAAATGGCATAAAATATTTTGCAGCTTACAAGTCAGTTTTAGCAATGTGTGAAAAAGGAATCTAAAGGAAACAATGTCAATCACGACTTAAACCGAAATAATTTGCAATCTTCGGATACCAGTTAGTAGACACTATCGACGATTTACCCTATGAGGCTACCTACCATCGACGAATACGTCGAAGACGTCGTTACCTAAGAAAAGCTTTTTAAATCAATGGACACTTAAAATGACACCTTTAGCCTATAGGTATTTTATTTATTTTTTTAAGGGGGGAAAATCATCGAATGACTGCTCCCGCTTGGGTGAGGCGGAAGGGAGTGTCAGACTTTTACTGACTAAAAACCACGCCGTTCCTTCTCCTGCACGTCGAGCCGGAGCCCCGGTTACCCGTTAGGTTCTCCGCGACAGCCTATAGGTATAGGACAATAATAACTACGATTTACGACTTCCCAAAGAAGTGCATTGAAAGGAGTACTGAAAAATAAGGATTCCCTCAAGACTACAGCGTTGAAAGTGAAACATAAATAATTTAAATAGATACAGCTATATATTGTTTCATAATCAACATAACACAATCAGTGACAGTACTCCCACACTTGCATATCGGTCGTTTACAATAATAATTGTAATGCGTATAATACTCGGAGCAGTCATGAACTTACACCCACTGAGCTAAATTCACATCGCTCCTAAACTCAGCACAGCTACTAATAAGTCCCGAACGGCATTGTGCAGTTATTAAGTCGGACTGAGTCACTAGGAGTCATGTGGTGGAGAGCTGTACCCTATAATTAGACGTTAATCAGCGAAAAAGGCAGAACACGGAGCATGTGTCCGGCGCCAACGGAAGCCAGTCTGGCACGAATAATTCATTGTGCTGTACGCAGTACGCACTACCCATTCATATGGCGAACGCTAGCCAGGTCGCGGGTAGTGCGCCCATTCACTGGTGGACGCACAGGAAGCTCTAATGGTCGCGGTCGACATTCGCTCGCTGCTGCTGCACCGGAACTGGATGTAGGCAGGAACTAAACAGTTAACACGGTGGACAGGAAGCCCTTTTTACATTTGCTGATGTTTAGTCGCAGCAAGCTTGTCGTGACTTTTATATGGTTATTTATTTTTTATTTATTTTCAGCCATAACCATCCCATTGCACGACAAAGACACCCTATCCTCTTTCCACTCCTCTCTATGTAAAACTTTTATGTGGTTTAAACATTAATTACAGAGACACATTCTTTGGTGGTTGGAAACATTACTAAGGTTTTGGGACCAGCCGCACGTTTATTTGGTTGTTTTTTTTTTATTTTATACATAAATCAATGTTTTTGTATACTAGGAATTCGCTAATATGATTAAAGGTTAAGGAGACGTAATTCAGTCTAGCTTACTTTGCTGCAGATTGAAGGCTACTGTCCTGCCCCGCTCGGCGGTCGTCGATCGCGGACTTTGGACTCGGCCGTGTTTGTATCTGCATCCCGTTCACTCCCTCTAAGCAGTGCAGTGTCTCACTCACAAGTCATACTCATCATAGTCGTCCATCATACCATCGCTGCATTACCTCATCAATCGACCCGAGATGCAATTCTTATTACTGCGTTTTTTGCCGTCGATAGCATATTGCGATGTCTTACCATAAAGTTATCATCATCATTGACGACTAACATTCCAAACGTATACCTGCACTTGCAATCAAAAGCCTACTGTTTAAAGGTAGGAATATATTTACGAAATCTATTGGTAACCCACAATTTTTTATTCTTCTAAAAAGATTTCATTGACATTATTTTAATAACTGTAACAGTAAAGGTATCCAAACCGACTTCGAACACATTTAATAGCAATTTTCAAAATCGGTCTCAATTATTCTGGACTATTGGCGACAGGACGAAAGACCATTTCCCACACGCAACCAGAGCTGAACCAGTATATCGGCGGCGGCTGCTCGCCTCGAGGCAAGTAGCTTGTACCTGGCTACTAAATGACTTAGCGGTCCTTGAACCCTCCTGAGCTATGGCTACGTCATTGATGCCACAGGATAAAGGCAACAAACAGGTAGTTGTGTTTCATTCGTTTAGATTGATTTCAAAATATTCGAAAACACTTATTTTGCTGTTAAATTCATTTTAAAATCTTTATAACTTAAGACTTCTACATTCAAGATTTAAAGACGGAATTTTGTAAATGTCAAACAATCGTCTATAGCGGGCCAAAGATGATAATTTCCGTAAAGCTGTCCGATTAGATTTACATGACCAGTTTTATTATCGCTTTACTAGTTTGAATCATGACTACTTTAAATACCATTGTAGCAATTTTTAGACAAAAATAATAATTTCCACAAATAGGTGAGAATATACCGTATCAAGAATTGAAAACAAGGTAGGTATTTATCAAATATAAAGTTATTAGGTATGTAGACTAACCGAACATTCGCTACAAAGCGCATGCTTGAGTTGCGAAACGCCAAAAGAGAGAAGGGAACTCAGACACTCGCCCCCGAGATGTAAAATGTCACTATATCTCCTAGGTACTGATTTACATAACATTCGTCCCAGATTCAATTGTTTGACAAATCAAGGTCGTTCAACGAAATTGCATTATATGTATTTTTATTAGTTAACAGTGCGAATGAATGAGTTCCTGGGGCGTAAAAAAGTATTTCAGATCTATTCTTTCCTATGTTTTGCAAATAATGTTTATCTTAACCTAGTTTTACTTCGCGTAGTATTAGCTTTACCTGATTATTCAACCGTATCATGTTTACTATATTTGTAATCAGGTCATACCTATATGATATAAATAACCTTAGAAAGTAGATTCTTATCACTTGTATCGCCTTGTCTGGGTAATAAATAGCTCGGAAATTATATAAGTAAGCATGTTTTGTTAGGTTCTATAAGAGCATGCCTCTAAGCATGGCTAAGTATTTTTTATAAAGGTCTGTTTAAAGTTTAATTTAGAGCAGCATGGGCCACCACTCAAAACGCTATCGACAGGTTATCGGAGATTACTGAATGATCGGCGCCGGTACCAAGAAATGCGGCGAGAAACTCAAAGGCCGGGGCGGAGCCGAGAGAAAAAAATCAATGCCTTTGTTACTAACAACTCAGGTGTACAAAAAGAAAATAAAAAGAGCATAGCTTGAACTGACAGCGGCTAGTGATGGTGCCAATAATATCGATAAAATAAATATATATTTGAAGATTTTTATTTGCAACATAAATTTTATCAAATTAAATGGATGAACCAGTTTTTATAACAAAATGTGTCTTTCTTATTTTAGGCAAAAAGAAGAGACACTGGTATCAAAATTTAAAACAAAACTATACTCTAAGACTTATCTAGCTTTTCATGTTACCCTGCGTGACCATTAGGTATACAAAAAATATTTATTGGACGTGTAAAATTCAATTCAAGTAGGTAATATAAATCTCTGTTTGAAATTACTCGGGACAGAATGATATCGATACTATGACGGGGTGCTCTCTAAGGTACCATAAACAACTAAGCGTGTCCTGACAGGAAAGGCGATTACGAGAGGCGAGGGGCATCGGGGAGGGCCTGCAGCGATTCCGAGAAGTCGGATCGCACTGCAGCCTCCAAGGCTAGCCGCGGTAACATCACAGGACGCGAGCTCGTTAACTCTTCGTGGTGAAAAACGGTGATCCAACCACTCATTCTACAGACAGTACAGACTAAATAAAATTTGAAGTTTTTCGATTTTTGTGTGTATCTAAGTATTTGGGGAATATTTGATTTATTTAGGACAGTGATTTCATTTTCGTAATTTTTTCTTTGTCGCTAACGTTAAACGATAGGTGGTGTTTATTTTATTTTAATGAGTCAAAGTATCAAATCAAAAGTACCTTAATACATGACGGCCAAAAAACGAAAATTCCTCAATCAAAATTTTACCAATCTCTGATTATAAGTACTTTACCTATGTCATCGTTTTAATGCAATTGAAGTTCAAAAAGTTAGTTAAAATGTATCAAAATTGTCTATCAGCAATTACGGAACTAGTCATCTTCCTTTGAAAACGGCCGCATAGCAGATGACTACTTACTACCTGTAAGTGTTTTTAGGACATCGCAAACTAATACATTTCTGCGTTTTTATGAGTCTGTGGGTTTTCCCACAATGTTTTCCTTGGTGGTCTGGAACTAGTGATTAATAAAGCTGTATAAAATAAATAAGTAATTTGTTTTAAATC